TGATGTCCAGGAATATTTTTTTAAGATATTTAAATAATTATTATGAATTCTTATATTTATTCCCAATAAAAATTGAGGGTAAATATAAAAATTATAAGTAGACTGGGGATGTTTATGCATTTAGGGGAAATTTGAATTCTCAAAAAACTACAGAATGTATTTAATATGCAAAAATATAAGATTATTATATTTAGAGCTTGAGACAGAGTTCTATAAAGCTCTGATTTCATTAATTCTATTAATAAATATGTGAATTTGCATAAAGATCCGCAGTCTAATTATAAGTAATTATTGCTCACATGTTTCATGCAGTAAAAATGATGTCCACGAATATTTTTTTAGGATATTTAAATAATTATTATGAATTCTTATATTTTTCCCCAATAAAAATTCAGGATAAATATAAAAATTATAAGTAATTATTGCTCACACGTTTCATTGAATTATTCGACCGATAATGCTTGTTCGAAGCAGTCAAAGGTTTAACGAGTCACGACTAACGAAATACCCGCGAAATTTGACCAAATAATAGCTAAAAAATGTTGATGGAGATTCGATAGGTCTACTGCGCGAGTCGAACGCAAGAAACGCAGGAAAACAGCTGCCAAAAATGTCCAAAAAGAGCGATAATGCTTGTTCGAAGCAGTCAAAGGATTTACGAGTCGCGACTAACGAAATACCCGCGAAATTTGACTTAAATAATAGCTAAAAAATGTTGATGGAGATTCGATTGGTCTACTGTGCGAGTCGAACGCAAGAAACGCAGGAAAACAGCTGCCAAAAATGTCGAAAAAGAGCGAGGAGAAGTTAATAAATAAGTGTGCTAGTAGACGAGTGACAGTAGGAGGATTTATCGTCGAGATTTACGAATAAGAGAGAGCAGTATGGCGTATGGTATAACGAGACGAAAGAACGAAAAGTGGAGGCGAAAGGAGAGGAGAGAATTTTCTTAAATTGCACTTTGTAGCTCCTGAGAGACCTTACACAGGGATTTCGACGCCCACGGCGAGGGATAACGAGGCGAACTCGGGGTTCCTCTCTTCGTGGAGGTGAGACACACATCGGTAGGTCTTTCGTGGCGATGCTCCCGGCCCACAGAGACATAATTGATACCCGGGGAAGAGCAAAGGAGAGAAGAATGAACTTGGGAGAGTCTTTGGACGTGGCGGAGAGCAAGAGGAAAAAATTACCTTACGTAGGGTAACCGGCACGAAAGAAAGAAGAACGAAGGACCACCGAGATCGTGTTCGGAATCGCCGACTTGCCGAAACTCTGGTAAAGGCCACCTAAGCGCCGACTATGGCCCTTTCCTTTCTCCTTCTCTCTCTCTTTAACAGTTCTCTATCCTTTTCTTTAATGGTTGGTTCAGCGCTGCGCAAACATCCAGTGACCACCTACATTCGAACTAATTGCTAATCGCAGCTCGCTAAAGGATCCTCCTCTGCGTCCCTTTATCTCTCTTTTTCATACGTCTTCCTCGTTCGCGTCTACGCCCATACGTGTTATTTATTATCGTCCATCGGACAGTTCGCACTTTCCAAACGAAAAAGAAACGTCTCATGTACCGCGAAATAACAAATTTTTCGAGTAAAAATGCGTCCAGAGTTCGATCACTGAAATTGTTCGCCATTCGGGAGCTAATATTTGATTTAACACTAGATTTACGGGCATTTATCGCATATATATTTATTGATACCTTTCATGTTGACGATTACCTTAAAATACGATTTTTTTTTTTAATTAGAATATGTATTCTTGCCATTGCATCGATCAAATTCAACGTAAGTTGTTAAAAAAATAATATTTACGCGTTCTGCAATTTTAAATATGGAATCAGACATCCGTCAAATTGACGACTTCCGTAAATCTAGTGTTAAAGAAGACTTCGTGGGGCATTGAAGTTAGGCGTTGTAATTGATAGAACGTTCCCCAGGTTCCCCAGGTGTAAAATATGCGCATTGATCGCGCGACAAACAAGATTATCACGTTCGTATATGGTCGTGTAAAATAATAAGTATGCAAGGGGTATATGGTGCAACGAGAGAGGCGCATGCCACGGAAATCCTGGTTTCCGTCGTTCGATCCTGTCGACCGTAAATCATACTACCGTAGAGAGAATGCTTGCGATTCCAAGCTCCTGAATAATTGCGTCTACCTTTAACCACCTGCGGGTTTAATCCTATCATCCTACGTCCTCTCTTCCAGCAAAAGAACCAAATTCCTGGTATTCAACCGTGGATAAACGCGAACAGAGAACGTACGCGGTTCGATCTTTTGATCGATCGTACTGGAAAAGATCGTAATTGCCACGAGTTGTTACACGGTAACAATAAGCTAAGTACGACGATTAGAACTCGAAAAACGGATGAAAAATCGCGCTCATTATGGAAAAAATAAATTAATTACACATTTTTAATGGAATTTCAAAGGAAAAGATTATAAAAATCCTTTTCATACACTCCACCTCGACTTTGTTTTCTGTAAAAAATATTACTATCGGTTTTCTTTTGTTCAGAAATATATACACGAACGTGCATAATTCAATACGACGAAGAAATTATGAAAAATAGTCTGTCAAAACTAAACTTCAACCTGATCTATTTATCGACAAATAACGTTCATATTTCTTCAATATTTTAATTATTTTTGTAACAAGAGTGCCCAACCAGCGTGTCTGGAAAATGTTATTCGTGTAATAAATACACGGAACAGAAGAAAATCTCCAAAGGTTTTCCCTTTCTCGAGCGTATTTGCAAGATTTATCCTAGATCCTAGATTTATCGGGGATCTCCGACTAAATTTTATCTCCGTAATCCAAGTAAGCCGTGTGAAAACCAGATAAAGAGATTTGTGCCCGTTCAGAAAAAAAAAAAACGTATCGATCGATCACGAAAACGAATCTAACAAACTTTCTAGCATAAAATTGCTTCCTAGTGCTTCTATTATGGTCTTTGAATCAAGTGTTTGGGCAAACATCGTTTTATCGAGATAAAGGTATTTCTGATGAAACGTCGATACGTATCGCCTCGATTTGAACGATTTTCCATCGATCTACGTCGAATCTGCTCGCTTCTCCGGGATTAAGGAAAAGGAGAGTAGAAGGAAACCGCCAAAAACTTGTCAGCAAGCGAACAAAGGGGCTTGCCCGTGTACCGTGCCTTTAAACGACGAGATTATCATTGTCCCGATATTTATCTAGCAGTTTCTTGTCTCCTTGCCTCTTCTATACGCCTCGTTTCATCGCTGAAATTCTACGCGGTGGCCGTATTTTCGGGATTGACAAATAAACGGACAATGAAAAGTTCCGAACTTGTCCGTCGAGTGGAATAAGTCTATTTAACTGTCGGGAACTTTGTCCAGTGTCCGTTTGCTTCGCGGACCCGGGCTTTTCGAGAAACTCGATACAAATCTCGCGTCAGACGTTATTTCTGACGCACAGCGTTTAACAAGTTGAAGAGAATGTTAAAAGTATTCGAACAACGTGCAAAAATAGTGGACAATTTGGAAGAAATGTAATTTTCAATATGAGGTTCCGATTACTGTAATTAACCCCTGCAATCGAAAATAATTTTTTCAGAACGATTTGAAATTTTTGAATTTTGTCGAAAGTCTCACACATTCTCGAATTTTTTTCTCGAAAATGGTTAGGATTTCGGAGGTAGGTCTATTCACCAAAAATGATTGTAATTGACCTCTGCAACTAAAAATAATTTTTTTATAACAATTTGAAATTTTTTAATTTTGCCAAATTTAGGCACCTTCTCGAATTTTTTTCTTAAAAGTGGGTAGGATTTCGAGGGTATGTCTAATGACCAAAAATGATTGAAATTGACCTCTGCAACTAAAAATAATTTTTTTATAACGATTTGAAAATTTTGAATTTTGTCGAAAGTTTCACACCTTCTCGAATTTTTTTCTCGAAAATGCGCAGGGTTTTGGGGGTATGTCTATTCACAAAAAATGATTGCAATTGATCTCTGCAACTAAAAATAATTTTTCTATAACGATTTGAAAATTTTTAATTTTGTCGAAAGTCTCACACCTTCTCGAATTTTTTTCTCGAAAGTGGTTAGGATTCGGAGGTAGGTCTATTCACCAAAAATGATTACAATTGACCTCTGCAACTAAATATAATTTTTTTATAACGATTTGAAATTTTTGAATTTTGTCGAAAGTCTCACACATTCTCGAATTTTTTTCTCGAAAGTGGGTAGGATTTTGGGGGTAGGTCTAATGACCAAAAACGACTGTAATTGACCCCCACAATCGAAAATAATTTTTCCAGAACGATTTGAAATTTTTGAATTTTGTCGAAAGTCTCACACATTCTCGAATTTTTTTCTCGAAAATGGTTAGGATTCGGAGGTAGGTCTATTCACCAAAAATGATTACAATTGACCTCTGCAACTAAATATAATTTTTTTATAACGATTTGAAATTTTTGAATTTTGTCGAAAGTTTCACACCTTCTCGAATTTTTTTCTCGAAAATGCGCAGGGTTTTGGGGGTATGTCTAATGACCAAAAACGATTGTAATTGGCCCCCAAAACCGAAAATAATTTTTCCAGAACGATTTGAAAAATTTAATTTTATTGAAAAATTTCACACATTCTCGAATTTTTTTCTCGAAAATGCGCAGGGTTTTGGGGGTATGTCTAATGACCAAAAACGACTGTAATTGACCCCCACAACCGAAAATATTTTTTCCAGAACGATTTGAAATTTTTTAATTTTGTCAACTTTGTCCACCTACTCGAATTTTTTTCTCGAAAATGGTTAGGATTTCGAGGGTATGTGTATTGACCAAAAATGATTGTAATTGACCCCCGAAACCGAAAATAATTTTTCCAATTACCAATCGAAACGATTTCTCTTTTTTAGAATTTAGATTTTGTAAGTTAACGTTTGGTGGAATCGAAAAATGTTTTAGACAAATGTTTTATAGTTGAAAATTTAGAATTATGCCAGGAAAGAGAAATTTCATATTTTTGACAACTCACCACATTGACGAAATCCTGAAACGTCACCGCATGAACACGTGATTCCTTTGCCCTGGTGAGGAGAATATCCCGTTTATTCAGCGGTATCTCGGCTTTCCATTCGGGACTTTTCAGCGCCACAAAAAAATCCTCGACTGGTATTTCGCCAAAACCCTCCGGATCAAACTGAAGGAGTGAAATCAGTCACGCTCGGGCCACGCGTCGTATAAACGAAGTTTTTGGCGTTAGATACGATGCCAAGTTTCGTGTACGTACCTTATCAAACAGCATCCGCCATTTCTGCAATCCAATAAAAACCGAACAAATGTTGGGAATCGTTTTAACTATCTTCTTAACACAATTTCTATCACGGTTTCGATCTCAAGAATATATTTCGACGTCTTTGAATTTGAATACAAATAACTCGTGGAAACGAATTAAAAATCGTTATAAAAAAAGTGAACGAAATCGATTGAGATTGAATACGATCTCAAAACCCCCGAAAAATGAACTGTATTAGTTAAAAAATCGAATTATATTGATTTAAGTTGAAATTCTAGATATGTAATATCATTTTAATGTAAGTGTTTATCGTTGAGTCATTTCGATTCGGAGTTGGAGTTTGTAATTTAGTGAAAAGTGTTTTATACTCACATCGTTGAGAAGTTCCCGTCTATATTCGGATTCATCGATGTCGATTTCGGATGCAAGATCGGTATGATCGGTGACATAGCCATCGTAGTGTGCACTGTTTGCTTCGCTGCGTGCATATTCTTCCTCCTCCTCGACGGTACCGGCGATGGTCGGTATCGAGATACCGCTTGCCAGTAGCATCACCGCATGTGGCACGAGGTCACCGTGTGAATCCCCTCATTCCATCCTCTTTCGTCCATTTTTTGAAACATAAATACTTCACGTTCTTACCGATCGCAGATTACAAATTAATTCGATCTGTTTCAATCAACACCCGGAACATCATTTCTCGTTAGAGTTTGTGAGTTCCTCGTTTTACTATCGCGTGGCAATGTGATCGACCAAGTTTCGAAACAGATCGTAACGCTGCATATAGCAGGAATTGCAATTCGAAGCGATCAATATCTGAAGATCGATTTATAAACATATTTTCAGTAAAAAATTTTTTTCTCGAAAATGCGTACGATTTCGAGGGTAGGTCTATTCACCATAAATGGTTGTATTTGACCCCAGAATCTAGAAATAATTTTTTTAGAACGATTTGAAATTTTTGAATTTTGTCGAAAAATTGCATACATTCTCGAATTTTTTTCTTAAAAGTGGGTACGATTTCGAGGGTATGTCTAATGACCAAGAATGATTGTAATTGACCTTTGCAACTAAATATAATTTTTTTATAACGATTTGAAAATTTTAAATTTTGTCGAAAGTTTCACACCTTCTCGAATTTTTTTCTCGAAAATGCGCAGGATTATGGGGGTATGTCTAATGACCAAAAACGACTGTAATTGACCCCCGAAAACGAAAATAATTTTTCCAAAACGATTTGAAATTTTTTATTTTCTCGAAAAATTTCACACCTTCTCGAATTTTTTTCTGGAAAGTGGATAGGATTTCGGGGGTAGGTCTATTCACCAAAAATGATTGTATTTGACCCCAGAATCTAGAAATAATTTTTTTAGAACGATTCGAAATTTTTTTTTTCGCCGGAAAATTTAGGCACCTACCCCCTGTCGATTTTCCTTAAAAATTCGTTTTCGATTTTTAGTAAGTTTGTTTAACGTTCTACAGAAAAGTTGTCTAATACTTTTTTGTAGGTACCCATGGGCTCTACTTCAGAAAAAAATTTCATTGAAATATATTCACTATTATAGGACGTATGACTGTTTGAAAATTGGAACATTTTTATGGGGTTTTTATCACTTTTTACGGGGTCAAGGATCAACTTTTCGAATATTTTTGTGATTCCTACCTATTCTCCACTAAAATACGCGTTGTTTGCCGTTTGAAACATTAAAATCCTCCAATCCGTTCAGGAGTTATGATGTTTTAAACATTTTCCTGATATTTCAGTGAAACATATCAACGCATGGTCAGACATTTCAGTAAGGAATTTTTTTCTCGAAAGTGCGTAGGATTTCGAGAGTATGTCTAATCACCAAAAATGATTGTAATTGACCCCCGCAGCCAAAAATATTTTTTTCAGAACGATTTGAAATTTTTGAATTTTGTCGAAAGTTTCACATCTTCTCGAATTTTTTTCTCGAAAGTGGTTAGGATTTCGGGGGTATGTGTTTTCACTAAAAATGATTGTAATTGACCCCTTCAGCCGAAAATAATTTTTCCAGGACGATTTGAAATTTTTTATTTTCTCGAAAAATTTCACACCTTCTCGAATTTTTTTCTTAAAAATGGGTAGGATTTCGAGAGTATGTCTAATGACCAAAAATGATTGTAATTGACCTCTGCAACTACAAATAATTTTTTTATAATGATTTGAAAATTTTTAATTTTGTCGAAAGTTTCACATCTTCTCGAATTTTTTTCTTAAAACTGGGTAGAATTTCGAGGGTATGTCTAATGACTAAAAGTGATTATAATTGACCCTCGCAACTAAAAATAATTTTTTTAGAATGATTGGAAATTTTTTAATTTCGCGGAAATTCCTTAAAAATTGATTTTTGATTTTTAATAAATTCGTTTGGATTAGCCGGCAATGTTCCCGGATTGAAATGTAATGGAGAACATCTAGGGATTATCTGGGCGAATCCAGATAAATAATTCCCAGTTTAAGTCTCAAGAAGAGCTCACGAATGCAAATGTAACAGAATGGTGTTTTCCTATCGAACCTATTGGTTGTCGATCATGCGACCTGATTCGAGGTCGGCCGCAGGGTTGTGGCGCACCAACCCCCACTCACCCTCTTTCTGATGGTTCACTAACGCTGGTCAAGAGGAGGGATATAGATGTCCCTCCTCCCACTAGGCCAATACTGGGTCTTTGAAGCAATTCAAATATAATTCCAAGTTAAAAACTGTTGAAAGTCTGGTTTTGCAATTCTTTCCTAATATGCATTGTTATGTACTTCTTAAACAATTTCATTGCCACGCAATTTTAACGCTAGAATTACCAACTACTTCTATGGAAAGGGTCAACAAAATGGCTTGTTTTTGAGAAGTTCACTTCAAACCGAACGAGACATATTTTTTTAGATACAACAGAGTCGTAAATAAAAGCATATCGATAGATACGAGTCACGTATTTTTATGGGCACGCAAAAATGACGAAAAACATAAAAGAAGCATAGGTATTCATCAACCGAGCGAACCTAACGCACTAGTTTGTTTTTATAATTTTTATGCAACGTGTAAATTCTAAAATATATTTAGTTTTCTGCAAAACAATATTAGAACTGTACGTGAAATTTTATGAATAACTTTTGAAATTCTAATGAAGTCAAAAATTTACCTAAATTCTGTAAGGGGTTAGTAATATTTACAAAAATTTCATACCCGATTTCTTTTAATAATCCCAAAATGTTCCAGGTATAAAATCGATGACAGAGTCCTCTATATCAGGCGTCACATTGCCTGAAAACAGACAATTTATAAATATTAAAAAAACATGCAACCTGTTTTGAATATCATAGACTTAGATCCTAATATAATTTATTAAGTAATTATTATTTAGAAGAAATTACGTGGCAAGGTTGATGACAACAAAGTTCAGAATTCTACAGTGAATCTAACGGGGAATTACAAACCCCCATATGTCCATCTTTCCCATATCTAAAATTGGTACTAGAGAAAATGGAAAAGGTGGAGGTGGAGCCATCTGGCGAGAAGGACGAAAGCATGGTGAAAAACGGATAAGGAAGAAATCAGGCGGAAATAGTAGATTTCGAAGTCGTAAAAAAGGAATTCGACATAAAAACTGTGAGAAAAATAAAAAACCATAGTCAACAAATTAAGAAAAATTCATTTACTTAAATACGTAAATTATTCACTAAATTAAAATAAAATTTACACGGTGAATAAAATGATTTTCTAGGTACTAAAGTGGGATATGTCAGAGTTGGAACGATGTAAGTAGAAACAGTGAGTAATGGACAGACATGCAAGAGCAACTCGTATTTAATCGTACGCGTATCCACCAAATTTTCAAATATTATTTTCCCGAAAATGAAGCATTATAAAACAAGATTTTAAATACTGTAAGAGAAATATCGATCGTCCTTATATTTGTGAAGACTTCATAGAGTTTTAAAAACATCTGTGTACTAGCACGCAACGAACTATAGAGTATGCAGCATAATACGCCCGTACGACGACGCGACGGTGCCGTTTCCATGGCAATGCATCGTCGATAGGTCTGGGTACAGGCCAGTCATCCACTATACACCCATAAGCTATTGTGCACGAAGAGTGCCCGAAGATTATCATTTCTAATAAAATCGAACCGTCACTCTAACCATATTCATCTTCATGCTACTGGACTAAAATAAATACAGTGCTCGACACAAGTGTTTACATAGTGTACAAACTACCGAAAACAGTGTTTACTACTTGTTTTTGTACGTGTCCTTCTTTAAGGTGTCTTACTTCTCTACACAGAGTGTTCGAACCTGGGAAAAATTTTAGTGGGAGATTCCAGAGGCCAAAACAAGACGAAAATCAAGAATACCAATTTGTTGATAGAGACTTCGTTAAAAAGTTATTAATATTTAAAGTTCTGCCCTTACTGAATTTTTTTCTCGAAAATGCGGCAGGAATTCGGGGGTATGTCTAATGACCAAAAGTGATTGTAATCGACCCTCGCATCTAAAAATATTTTTTCCAAAACGATTCGAAATTTTTGAATTTTATCGATAAATTTCACACCTTCTCGAATTTTTTTCTTAAAAGTGGGTAGGATTTCGAGGGTATGTCTAATGATAAAAAATGATTGTAATTGACCCCTGCAACCAAATATAATTTTTCCAGAACGATTTGAAAATTTTTAATTTTGTCGACTTTGACCACCTACTCGAATTTTTTTCTCGAAAGTCCGTAGGATTTCGGGGGTATGTCTATTCACCAAAAATGATTACAATCGACCCTCGCAACTAAAAATAATTTTTTTATAACGATTTGAAAATTTTTAATTTTGCCAAATTTAGGCACTTTCTCGAATTTTTTTCTTAAAAGTAGGTAGGATTTCGAGGGTATGTCTAATAACCAAAAACGACTGTAATTCACCCCCGCATCTAAAAATAATTTTTCCTAAACGATTTGAAATTTTTTATTTTCTCGAAAAGTTTCACACCTTCTCGAATTTTTTTCTTAAAAGTGGGTAGGATTTCGAGGATATGTCTAATAACCAAAAACGACTGTGATTGACCCCCGCATCTAAAAATATTTTTTCCAGAACGATTTGAAAATTTTAAATTTTATCGAAAAGTTTCACACCTTCTCGAATTTTTTTCTCAAAAGTGGGTAGGATTTCGGGGGTATGTCTACTCACCAAAAATGATTACAATCGACCCTCGCATCTAAAAATATTTTTTCCAGAACGATTTGAAATCTTTTAAATAAACTAATAAACTGTTTTTTGAAGACCTAATATTTGGTCCACCGTGGCTTTAATAATGACTCGAACGTCGAAGTAAACACTTACAAAAATGTATTCTATAAAAATAGATCAAGCTGCCTTTTCTATATTTTCTCTATTTCTTCCCTGCAGACTTAATTCTATTAAAAGTGTGTGAAAGTCTATCCTCGCTATACCGTCTGACTTCTCCCACCGCATTGTTTAGCTAGACCGCCCTTCCACCTCTTGTCTCGTCACGCAAACCTGCAAGTACACGCTTTGTGTCTTTCGAAGATAAAAGGCAAGCTGATACTACACCAACCGCCAAAAGTTTGGCACCACTTGCTGATTTTCATCAAAATCAACTGCTCTTGAACGCTGGGGGCTTTTTTAACGTAGACTCAACCCCTCAAGCTCATTTTTAATTCACGAACATATACTTATGAACTCGCTAATAATTATATTTTCATTATTATATAAAATTTTATCAAAAGCTCTCTTCTTATTACTAAACTTTAAAACCATTCTTGAACTAGTAGGTTCAGAGCATAAATGCTTAATCCTTTTTTGTAGAGTTCAACAAACAACATCAAAACTATAGAGTTCCACCTAGAAAAAGAAACGAATAAAATTACATTCATAGTTCTAATTTTTCCTGATATTTTTTTGCGTCTGGCATTGTTTTTGTAGATATAACTTTTCCCGAGTTGCGTGGGACACCCCTTATAACCGCGATGCAACCAGCGCGTCCACACGACCGCCCCTACCACCCTTATACAGTCACTTTCTCTGCCCCCTTCTACCTTCGACATCCGCGTTCATTCGTTACCCTCCGTTTCGGCACGACGTCACTGAAACTTACCCCCCTACACTATCGTCCAACCCCACAAAGTCATCCCCCTAACCCCAAGCCCCGCACTTGCTCCGTCTTTTTCCCATCGCGTTTATCCGTCCTCCTTCCGCGCCATCTTCTAAGCACAATTATGTCTCGTGCAAGCAGACCGTTTATACGAGACCCTCCTAAGGTCGACAACCTTGAAGAACGTTCGGCGACACAACGTTATGGACGATGCTTTCTACGTAATACCCCCGGTATCTTCTTACAACCCTACCACGGCGTTAAATTACCTCGCAGCCAACCATAGAACAACGAGTCTCTGTCTACCGTTATTATTCTATTTTTTTCTATTCGATACTACCGACACAATACTCGCAAAAATTTCTAACTACGTGACATAATTGATCTGACAACTTTCGTTATTATTAGTAATCAGGAGCAATTTAATTAGTTTCTAAATACTTATATTAATTCCACGCTACGAAATAAAGATTGCTGAAACGAAACGTGAACTTCGTATCAGATACGAAAGGTGTCCTTTTAACCCTTTGCCCGAGTTCGCGATCTACCCCCCCTAACTGTAGAATACATTCTCACTTTCGTTATTCTACTCAGAAAGCGACCTACATTCGCAACGAATTATGGACAACAGCGATATAATTGAATAATGAAGAAAACGCGTGAGGAGTTATCACTAGTATTATCAAAACTAGGTTATGTTGATTCTACATAGATTATCTACTAATTATATTACGATAATTAAATTGTCATTACTTGGACTTTTGTAATGTAGATAAAAAATGAATAAACTAGTAAAATGCAATAGTTTATAATTTACCTTTCACAATGTGAATTTGGTGACTTTGATGTAGCATCCCACGAGTGTACGTCCACGAATGGGAAACTGCGAATATCACATGCTCTTGGTCGCAACACCATAACCTCACAAAAACGTGGATTCATAATAAATATATATTAACGAGACCGTTCGCGATTAATCGAATAAAGGCACACGTATGTTGTATATTAAACATTTCTTTACCAATCGCACCGATTACTTTATCGCAAGCAATAGTTCCTCCTTATTTACGATTCCTTTAATTTTCACCGTGAGATAATAAAACTGTCCTTGTTCGTTGCTTTGGCGCCACATCGTTCGTACATCGCGAGTGTGTAACATCGATAAAGTAGTTCCAAAAATTGATTTTAGATCGCTGAATGCACGAGATAATTTTAAGATATTTTCAAATAACAGTCCTTACGATGCACAGAATTATTAAATGATTCGCCATACTGTTCGCGAACGATACGTTTCATTTATTGTGTCAACAAGCCGACGTCTCCGGACAGTTTACATTTTCACCAATGCGCGTGACGTAGAATTTGAAATGGAACATGGCGGTCGTACGGCGATTTTGACAGCAAACGTGTGCACAGGTACCACGGTTACGAGCGTTGATCATTTTAATCGATGAGATACGAATGAAACTCCGTCCCACAGATCGAAATTTGATAATGGCTAATCGAGATGAGCCTGTGCACGACGACAGGTTGACACGAAACGATTGTATAGTGTCTACGTGCAATGGTAGCGCGGTGCCACGAGTAACTGCGGCAACGTGCGCAAAACCCGGTTCGATCGATAATACAGGTTGCCGCGAAGCTGCGACAGCCAATAGGCAAACAGATCTCACGAGACACGCGCGATAAACACGTGGAAACTGAAATATGCGAACTGGATTTAATATATTTGCAATATAACCGATGTCGTCGGCGGGAAACGCGTTACACGACTGACGAGTACTTTGCCACCCTCGTACGCTCCCTTTCCTCCCCTCCTCCCTCACCCCCCCTTATCCACCCCCTCGATTCGTTTCACCCCAGACTCGTTCGTTCAACCCCAACGTTCAAGAATATGCGAACGAATGCTTGCCACCGCCTATTGACACGAAACAAATTGATATCTTTTCGATAACAAGAAAACTTTCACGACGTTCTCGATTTATTTTAAACATTATGAACGTGGAACATGCAAATGGAAGCCTGGATTAATCTCAATAAATGTTAAATACTGTCTACATTAGATTTCAATCACACCTATCATTAGAATAACCAACAATTGAATTATGTAATTGAATTATAATGTAATCGAATTAGGGCAACTCTGATTTCACACTATTATTTGAACAAATGTCGATGGCATATCTGCAAACGTGGAAAACTGACGTGGCAGTCGACGTGTTGAGTATACAATCTGAAATCCAACGTTAATATATTAACTATACTGTAAAGTACCTTGTTTAAGAATCATTATCCATATTAAACGTAAAGTTGGTGTGTTTCGTGATTTAAACTCTACTCCGTTTTAGATGGCGCAGAATGCATTTGCCTGAGTTTTTTTTTCCCACCGTCGTTAACTATGGCGGAGAAAGAAGTTAGGTTATGTTAGGTTAAGTCTACAGCTGTCAACTAAATTCATACAATGTCCTTAATTTTTCCATTTAAAATAGTCAGAGATTAGTTCTCTGGCATAGCATGAAATGATTACAAGTGACACGCCATACAGAAACTATGTCATATTTTCGTGATTGGCGGCAAACTTTGCGTACTCCGTTTGTCTACAGAGTTGCCAACAGTACTTTTCGTATTCAATGTCAATATTTTGCACTTATTTTCCTATTATTAACCGTTCCTCTATTTTTACTTGGTTTTTTATCGTTCCGTGGAAGTGTACATTCATTCACATCGAGTCAGTTTTTAACTCAATGCCAATATTACAAGTATAATAAAACATATCCTTTATCTACTCCGATCAGAACGTTAAAGGGTATCGCTTATAGAATAGCGATAGTAAGTGATCTAGACCACGATTCAAAAAGTTTGAACGACCAGAACACGTGGTATAGTATCATGAAAACTGGAACTCTTTCTTGGGATACTACGATACGTTCTCTTAGTATTGCATGGGACGATAAAACTCAAATGCTAACGTCGTCGTTAACTATGAAAGGACGTGGCATGGAATTGTCCGAATTGGTTACCTTCGATGGGCATTTATTGTCTTTCGATGATCGTACAGGAGCAATATATTATATCGAAGGAGAAGAAGCCTATCCATGGATCTTATTAATGGACGGTAATGGCAAAAATTCTAAAGGTAATCGCATTAATCGTCTACGAATTTAATCAATTTGTGAAAGTGTATGTCTTAAATACTTTAAATTATTTACAGGCTTTAAATCCGAATGGGCAACCGTTAAAGATGAACATCTATACGTCGGTAGTACGGGCAAAGAATGGACTACTCACTCGGGAATATTCAAAAACAATAATCCACTTTGGATAAAAATAGTATCCCCTCGCGGTGAAGTCCATTCTTTAAACTGGATTTCATATTATAAACGATTGAGGCAAGCTATTGGCATTGAGTATCCAGGTGCATAATTAATCATTTTACAAACGACCGTCTTATTAAATTCGCTTCTCTTAACTCAAGTACTTTGAGAAGTACAAAAATATTTTAAATAAGACTTACCCTGCTTCGAGTAACATTCTCCGTTGTAACCTTTCACAAAACTGCAATCCGGCAGCATAATCAGCATCGGATGCCGGCGATCTGAAAATCTAACGCGACATAATCGATATTTTCTCAAAATTAAAACCATATCGACAATTTAGTTAAACGTTTAACAAACATAGTAAATTAAATCGCAATAGAAAGAAGGAACGCGTAATGCTAGTCACAATAATACTGATACTACAGACGCGATCGTAATACGCATTAACAGATGCCCCCTACTTGTAAACACGAATGAAAACGGTCGTTATCGTGAGTTCGCCTAATGTTTACGTCGGAATCGACGAACTACTGCGACAGAATAACACGATCAACGAAAATAAATTTTGCACGGATTTGAAAGACCTTGAAAACCCCAGTACTATAAGTTCCATTAAAAGAAACCAAAAATCTATCTTTTCTGTTTAAAAACGATATAACCTGCATCGAACAAAAAAATTACTATAAATAGGCTAGCGTATGGTTCTCGGTGCTTATTATTAATTAATAAATGCTTACAAATGTCTGATATTGAGAGTAGAATGAAATGTGTATCCCAGGATATCCCAAGACTCGAATGAGCACAGATGTTTGATTTTCGATACTTAAGATCGATACGATACTTAAATATCGATAACTGATATTTTAAAAAGAGTAACTTTACGAAAATAGTGTTAACATTTTCTCCTTTTTTTTATATTATCAATAGCAATAAATATATTTATAGTATTCTAGTTGATTGAGACGTCCTGTAATTACTACTGTTAATTACTAAATCTTCACAGGTTATATGATCCATGAATCTGGAACTTGGAGCGATATACACAAAAGTTGGTTCTTTTTACCGAGACGATGTTCTGAAAATCGTTATAATGGAACTACAGATGAAATAATGAGCTGTAATGTTTTGTTAACTACAGACGAAAATTTTGTGGATATCAAGGTTCCTATCTAATTAATCTTTATGGGTCTAACTTAACTTTTATTCTAAATTCGATCTTAATTGTATTATTAAAAATCTTATTTTCAGATTACCAAAATTGGTGATTTAGATCGACTTAGGGGTTTCTCGAGCTTCAAATTTTTACCAGACTCTCGAGACTCGATTATCGTCGCTCTAAAAACCGAAGAATATCAAGGACAGACTGCCACGTACATTACAGCATTTACAATCGAAGGGGTGATCTTAATGCCGGATGTCAAAGTGGATGATAAGAAGTTTGAGGGGTTGGAATTTATATAACATTCCGCTTAAGAATATTACAGTCGTGTTAAGCAAAATTATGTAAATAAACGTACCAGATTTTATAATTCTATATTATTATCAAATATCTCCCGAAAAAATTGTGTAAATTGTTTGGCACAGTTCGCTTAAATCACCAGTATTGTACTTCCCGAGATATAACAGTATTCAATGTAATTTCACATTCATCAGCCATTGTATATATTATTTAATAATATATATATTTATTTATATAAAAAATTACAGCTGTAATATGTACATATAAATGTTTGTTGATAAATATATAAGATTGCTATTTTAGATGAAATTCACGTTGTACGGAAATTGTGCAATAGAAACTTTATGGCGTTATTGATTACATTGACCATTATAATCTCTGCCAACAGAACAGTGTTTCACTTGTTAAGTTTTATTTCTTTTTAATATTTTTACCTCCCAAAATCGTGTTACAAAAACCTTTATCCAGTAGCGTAATACGGTTTCAGGGTCGTAATATATAGTCTAAAATCAATAATATATATATACACATTGAAAACGCGAAGTGGTGGCAGCAGCATTGCGCTACGCTCAGAGAATTTAGTCAACCCGTGGCGTCATGCATGGAGGGAGAGTTATATTTAGTAGAGATATAAAAATCATACTTTTACGAATAATTACAAATAGTTTCGTACTTAAATTCGTCTGATATAGAAGTGGTCGTAATACTCAGCCTCTTACAAGAGCCTTAAAACCGTATAAAATATTTAAAAATGTTACTTTTAAAATAATAATAGTTCCTTGATAATAATAAAAAGGAATTTATTTAATTAAAATCTCTGAACTAAGAGATAAATAACCCAGAGATCTCGAACAGTGGATGTTTGATATACTCGTGAACAATTGTTATAAAACCTTTTATTTTTAATAAAAGGACTTTCTTTTACGAACAGTGTACACTTTCCAATTTCACGGGACATTTAACACGAATTTAATCCATTTTCGAAGTGACTGGAGTTCTACAACCCTCGACAGATGTGGCGCACTGTATCAGTAGGAAGAAAAGCTATTTTCCAATGAAATATTTTATCAGATCATGACGAATGTGTTCGTTTTTGGTTTCCCTTTCCTACAGTGCTCTATAATGGCTAAAACAGGCACAGTTAGAAAAATGTTTCGCATGCTTATCCACGGTGATACGGCGACCATAACGCGCGTGGCATCGCCGTGACGCAAATTCGTCGACGAGTTGCTTTTAATTTTGTTAAATTCTAAAAGAATAAAAAGAAAATATCGCTGATCGTTTAGTTCACGAAAGTAACATTGCGTCTGCTATCAATCCGTAATAAACGCGATTTTTACAACGCAATTTCCGGATCATAGAGATTCGAAATACTTTAAAGCATCATGGCTAGAAAATCTGAAGAGGGGAAGGAATGGAGTATCGCTAGGCTGGGAATTTCTCTTCTTTTAAATAATAAGACCGAGGAAGCAGAAGCCTTGTTCACTGGACATCCGCATAATTTCCATATTAAAGCCGGACGCTGCTTCGTTTTATTCATGGTACGTGAGTTATGTATTATTATTATTTTCTATGGCGATTTTAGGCAGTTATTAAGATCCAGTTAATGAACAAATCGACTTGGGAGACCTTCCTTTAGTTATCCTCTTTAAAGAGATTGTTACAGGTCCTTTCTGGAACTACCTTCCCTAATCGAGACGATATTTTTGCTTGCTGGATCATAATTTCTATTTAATTTGTTCTTAAAGATGATACAAATATAGGAAGGTTTTCAGGTCGCATTGATTTTAAATGGGCGGTTCTATTTTAATAGCCTGCACCGTATTGACTAGTAATTTATTTAAACATCTATCCCAATGACGTCTTACAATATACACGGTCTAGAAAAATATTGATCATATTTAACATAAAATTCACCGGTCAATATTTTTCTGGATTTATTATTCATAGAAACCTTGTCTCTATTATTTATTAGCTGCTTTATTATTTATGCCAAATATCTCGTAATGCCAAATAATTCACTCACTCATATATTTCTTCATCTTTCTTCATTTATAATAATTATTATTAATGGGTCCTGAACTTTCATGAAGTTTTTTAATTTCTTCTGGTGTTAAGTGTCCATTCTTCTCACTTTTCTTCTATTTATATCTATGATATTTGATCTTGGTTCATCTCATTTGTTTACTCGTCCTTCTCTATCCTTCTTCATTTATAATAATTATTATTAATGGGTCCTGAACTTTCATGAAGTTTTCAATTTCTTCTGGTGTTAAGTGCCCATTCTTCTCACTTTTCTTCTATTTATATCTATCATATACAATCTTGATTCATCTCATTTGTTTACTCCGTCCTTCTCTATCTTTCTTCATTTATAATAATTATTATTAATGAGTCCTGAACTTTCATGAAGTTTTTAATTTCTTCTGGTGTTAAGTGTCCATTCTTCTCAATTTTCTTTTATTTATATCTATCATATACAATCTTGATTCATCTCATTTGTTTACTCCTCCTTCTCTATCTTTCTTCATTTATAATAATTATTATCAATGGGTCCTGAACTTTCATGAAGTTTTTAATTTCTTCTGGTGTTAAGTGTCCATTCTTCTCAATTTTCTTTTATTTATATCTATCATATACAATCTTGATTCATCTCATTTGTTTACTCCTCCTTTTCTATCATCAAAAATCCTGTTCCATCTTTCATATCTCTTCCCTGTGTTTTTTGTTCTTCTTTGATTTTAAAGTAGACAAGGAACCGTAATTCTTTAATTAAATTTCAGAACGCTTTGATGACATTCGAGGACGACAAACTGCAACAAGCCATTTTGCTCTTGAAAGATATGGAAAGGGAGTGTGCGTGCAACATAGGCTGGCTGAAGTCCGTGAAGAGCAAAGTGTTCAGAGCGGAGGAAACAGGCGTAATTACTTTTATTATTATAGAAATATTCTCGTTTCTATGCTCGTCCAAAAACACTCGAAATGTAACCGATGTGAAAACCGCTGATGAAAGGAAAATGACTGTTGTAGAAAGACTATGTCAATAGGCTGGAGAGGCAAATTGTTCTAGCAGACTCGCAAGTATGTTCGGCGATATTAACGCTATTGCAACAAGAGCTGACTGGTTACGTGCGCGGTGGTTGGATGTTACGTAAAGCCTGGCGTGTTTATCAACATGCACACACGCAAATTTCACAGTTGTACCAACGTACGTTCGGTGCAGACCCGGGTATGCAACTGAATTTTACCATTATTATTAAAATATATTCTGTTGGCTGTGGCCTTCCGTGTCAGGGTCAAACAAACGAGAAAACAGAGCAAGAGCATTGAGTTTGGTCCAAATAAAGGATTAGTTCTAACTCGATTTAACAAATGCAAAGAATGCTTTTGTAGCGATTTTCCTGTTTCTTCGTTTTCAGTGGGATTCGAGTCAACGTGCAGCACCCCTTCGTGCAACGGTTCTTCCTATTCCTTGCAAAGTCCACATAGTCCAGGCTCTTCGGAATGGTCAATACCATCCTGCAACGGTTCAACAAACAACTTGACACCGATCACGTCCCCGTCAGGTCTGCGAAGCTCTCTATCAATGTTCTTCTCGCTCACTGGCATCACGTCCGAACAACAGACACCGTAATTGTTGTTTCTTCTTACAAACATTTCTCTCTCCTCGTGGGAACTCTTCTTGTTTTACAATTGTCACGCATTGCTTCTGTCTCGGCGATTAAATGCCACTCGCGTTTCAATTACCCTTCGAAAACTACACTTACTGTGCTCGAATCGTTAACGCTTCAACGATCGCGTGTAAAACATCAATTTTAATTAATAACGTACCAGAGAGACTGATTAAATAAAGATTCAGAGATGTTCTAAAAAGTGAGAGTAAATATGATCGTGAAAGCGTTGAGATTCGACGACGATACACCGAATAAATAATTTTTAAACGGCTTGACATGTGCGCACTGATTGTTTTTTTATTAAATTTGCTATTGTTTACGGGTTAATGGCAAGTTTAAAGGCCCGTTGGAAACTAACAGAAGTGGAAAAGTGATGTATTTTACAGTTTTGTGGAACCTACCGAGGTCTCGCGATTGATGTCGGCGGTTAGCTTCGGCTACGGAATTTATCAACTGTGTGTGAGTTTATTGCCGCCTTCTCTTTTAAAAGTGATCCACTTTTTGGGCTTCGAAGGTGACAGGGAAGCTGGACTCACAGCGCTGATGAACGCGCGACTTAGCGAAGATATGCGCGCCCCTCTCGCCACGTAAGCCCTTTTCGCCATTATTCCGCCAAAAGTGATCGACTAATCAATGATTTAATGATTTCGATACGACAGCGTTGTTAACTCGATCTATCGTTCTTTGTAGATTGTCTTTGCTCTGGTACCACACGATCGTACGCCCATTTTTTGCTCTCGATGGAAGCAACCTTCGAGCTGGAGTTAACGCTGCGAAACAATTGATCGCAGAATGTCATCCAGAGTTCAATAATTCCGCATTGTTCCTCTTTTTTACGGGTCGAATAGAGAGGCTCGAGGTAAAAATGTTTACAAAATTAAAAATTTGCTCACCATTCTTCCCATAATTAATATTCTGGTCTAGAAGATCGATTTTTGAGCCTCTTTCAGGCTTCTTTGCAAGAAAACCGTAAAAGTATGATCTTCAGTGCATATTCGTAATCATTTTAAGTATATATATATATATTATTACTGAATATAGATGTAAACAAAGTGGTCTGACGTTGTACAAGATTCTAACTGTTCTATTAATCTAAAATAAAAAAATAAAATAGTGTCCACGAACCACGATGAATAAAAAATAGGAACGATAAAAAAAATGTCGACATATTGAGTGTCCACCCTATAAATAATTTAAAAAAGAAGTATACTTTAAGAAAACTAAGAAGAATGTTGATTTTTGGAAGCTTCTAGACCAGAAATCATTCCATAACGACTGAATTTCACAGCATAAATTAATAATTCTTGCAGTCGAACGTAAATGGCGCCCTCGAGGCGTATGGAAAAGCTGTGGAAGCTTCGAATCAAAGAGAGATAAAGTTGTTGTGCTTGCACGAAGTGGCTTGGTGCCATCTGATTCGCCTCAGTTACGAAGAGGCTTACCGATCTTTGATGCAATTACGACAGCAATCGAGATGGTCGAAGAGCTTTTACGCTTACTTGGGAACAGGTAAACAGGGAACGATTATGCGTTTCCCTTTTCGTCAATTCTTATCTTTCGTTACTTTCCAATGTGTTTGTTTCTTAGTATGTTGCGGAGCGATCGGCAAGTTCGACATCCTGGCAACCACTTATCGAACGATCCTTCATTTTGCCAATAGAACGAACAAGGAAACGCAATTAGGTGTGTTTATTTTGCGTCGCGCGCCTAAGCTGGTCGACCAAGAAACTGGACAGCCGTACACGGTTTTGTATTACAGATTGTTAGTGTATGAATTACTCTATTTATGGAACGCTATGCCCTCTTGTACATCGGAATCGTTACGGAATATATTACTAGGTAATAAAAAACGAGAAGTCGCGAACACGGTTAAATTTTGCTAAAAATTGGTAATAAGTTCGTATTTTTGTACGATTTTATCTTTTAGAATGCAAAAGCAATCGTTCTGACGAGCCTATGGTTGGGCTGACCGATTTGATAGAGGGTGCAGCTCATTCTTATCTGGGCGATATAGACGCATCGATCAAATGTTATCGAAATTGCTTGAGGCGACGTAATCCATCAAACGACGCGTACGATCAGCATGTTAGCGCATTTGCACTTTACGAACTTGGCAGTGCACTTTGCGCCATTAATGTGAGTGATTAGACTTGGTTAAATGATATATAAACCCATCATAAACTATCCAGAACACCTTTCATTTCTTAAATCTTACATCATTTCTATTTTTAAAGGGAACCTTCGTACAACAGTTTCGAAATAGTTATTTTCAGAACCTTTTCGATCCCTGCTTTTTCATTTATAGGCGTTTTGTTTTAGAATACGGAGGAGGGGAAAGCGGTGCTCTTGCAAGCCCAAAACCAGTACAGAGATTACGACTTTGAGAGCCGACTGAACGTGAGAATACACACTACCCTGAAGAACGTTAACTGACGACAAATAAAAATACCAAAACCACCCTTATATTTACTGTACAAAGTACGCGTTGTATACTCGCGCTAACGGGGTGTACATTGCATACTTAACACGATAATGTTTTGTTCTGTAACATCCATAATGTTCCACATATGAATGATTTAAATGCAAACAGATAAGACTCAATGCAACATAACTTTCCTATATTACGGAGAACTGTACCAACTGTGTTCTGGTATTCCGTCTATAAAAACATTAACTGAAGTAACATAACTTTCATATACGAACACTGTACATAAAACTGTTCACTCTATTATAACGTATGCAAGGTGGTCCATTGGAAACTGAACGCATAACACATTACCGACCGATAGCCTATTAATCGACTGTTTTACCGGCCAACACTTACCGACCGATAGCCGATTAACCGGTCGGTAAAGTGTTAACATCTCTTGATTTTGAACACGTAAAAAAACCATTTAAACTCATGGTACAAATATGGCGCTCGATGGACTTTCTCCTGGAGGCCATTTTTTCTAAATTTCAAACAGGAAGAAAAATTTTCATCTCTCACGTGTTATAGGTGCCACTAAAATGAATTTTTTAGTGTACCACGATTATGTCCTTTGACACTCAGCTTGAAAACTTGAAATTCGTAGGAAAAATTGAAGCTTTTCTTCGAGTTTTTCAAAGTTTCTTTCGATGATCCGTCCTGTTTACATTATTTATTCACGGACGTTGATTAAAACAGCTTCGTTGCATTGATTTTAATAAAGAATGCTATAACATGTGGCAAGGAATGTTTCTGTTATTTCATTTTCCTTCTCACTTCCTCTTGTTTTAATTTGTGTAATGTGGCTCTAGAACTCCTGAAAAATGTATTGAATGTAAGGTTTGTTCGTATAACTCGTCTATGATTTTTATAATCGAGATTTAGTTCGATCATAATCGTCTGAAGTCTGTTTTACAATTTATTCAGATCTACTTCGTTGCATTGATTTTAATAAAGAATACTATAACATGTGACCAGGAATGTTTCTGTTATTTCATTTTCCTTCTCACTTCCTCTTGTTTTAATTTGTGTAATGTGGCTCTAGAACTCCAGAAAAAAGTATTGGATGTAAGGTTTGTTCGTATAACTCGTCTATGATTTTTATAATCGAGATTTAGTTCGATCATAATCGTCTGAAGTCTGTTTTACAATTTATTCAGATCTACTTCGTTGCATTGATTTTAATAAAGAATACTATAACATGTGGCCAGGAATGTTTCTGTTATTTCATTTTCCTTCTCACTTCCTCTTGTTTTAATTTGTGTAATGTGGCTCTAGAACTCCTGAAAAATGTATTGAATGTAAGGTTTGTTCGTATAACTCGTCTATGATTTTTATAATCGAGATTTAGTTCGATCATAATCGTCTGAAGTCTGTTTTACAATTTATTCAGATCTACTTCGTTGCATTGATTTTAATAAAGAATACTATAACATGTGACCAGGAATGTTTCTGTTATTTCATTTTCCTTCTCACTTCCTCTTATTTTAATTTGTGTAATGTGGCTCTAGAACTCCAGAAAAAAGCATTGGATGCAAGGTTTGTTCGTATATCTCGTCTGTGATTTTTATAATCGAGATTTAGTTCGATCATAATCGTCTGAAGTCTGTTTTACAATTTATTCAGATCTACTTCGTTGCATTGATTTTAATAAAGAATACTATAACATGTGACCAGGAATGTTTCTGTTATTTCATTTTCCTTCTCACTTCCTCTTGTTTTAATTTGTGTAATGTGGCTCTAGAACTCCAGAAAAAAGTATTGGATGTAAGGTTTGTTCGTATAACTCGTCTATGATTTTTATAATCGAGATTTAGTTCGATCATAATCGTCTGAAGTCTGTTTTACAATTTATTCAGATCTACTTCGTTGCATTGATTTTAATAAAGAATACTATAACATGTGACCAGGAATGTTTCTGTTATTTCATTTTCCTTCTCACTTCCTCTTGTTTTAATTTGTGTAATGTGGCTCTAGAACTCCAGAAAAAAGCTTTGGATGCAAGGTTTGTTCGTATATCTCGTCTGTGATTTTTATAATCGAGATTTAGTTCGATCATAATCGTCTGAAGTCTGTTTTACAATTTATTCAGATCTACTTCGTTGCATTGATTTTAATAAAGAATACTATAACATGTGACCAGGAATGTTTCTGTTATTTCATTTTCCTTCTCACTTCCTCTTATTTTAATTTGTGTAATGTGGCTCTAGAACTCCTGAAAAATGTATTGAATGTAAGGTTTGTTCGTATAACTCGTCTATGATTTTTATAATCGAGATTTAGTTCGATCATAATCGTCTGAAGTCTGTTTTACAATTTATTCAGATCTACTTCGTTGCATTGATTTTAATAAAGAATGCTATAACATGTGACCAGGAATGTTTCTGTTATTTCATTTTCCTTCTCACTTCCTCTTATTTTAATTTGTGTAATGTGGCTCTAGAACTCCTGAAAAATGTATTGAATGTAAGGTTTGTTCGTATAACTCGTCTATGATTTTTATAATCGAGATTTAGTTCGATCATAATCGTCTGAAGTCTGTTTTACAATTTATTCAGATCTACTTCGTTGCATTGATTTTAATAAAGAATACTATAACATGTGACCAGGAATGTTTCTGTTATTTCATTTTCCTTCTCACTTCCTCTTATTTTAATTTGTGTAATGTGGCTCTAGAACTCCAGAAAAAAGCATTGGATGCAAGGTTTGTTCGTATATCTCGTCTGTGATTTTTATAATCGAGATTTAGTTCGATCATAATCGTCTGAAGTCTGTTTTACAATTTATTCAGATCTACTTCGTTGCATTGATTTTAATAAAGAATACTATAACATGTGACCAGGAATGTTTCTGTTATTTCATTTTCCTTCTCACTTCCTCTTGTTTTAATTTGTGTAATGTGGCTCTAGAACTCCAGAAAAAAGTATTGGATGTAAGGTTTGTTCGTATAACTCGTCTATGATTTTTATAATCGAGATTTAGTTCGATCATAATCGTCTGAAGTCTGTTTTACAATTTATTCAGATCTACTTCGTTGCATTGATTTTAATAAAGAATACTATAACATGTGACCAGGAATGTTTCTGTTATTTCATTTTCCTTCTCACTTCCTCTTGTTTTAATTTGTGTAATGTGGCTCTAGAACTCCAGAAAAAAGCTTTGGATGCAAGGTTTGTTCGTATATCTCGTCTGTGATTTTTATAATCGAGATTTAGTTCGATCATAATCGTCTGAAGTCTGTTTTACAATTTATTCAGATCTACTTCGTTGCATTGATTTTAATAAAGAATACTATAACATGTGACCAGGAATGTTTCTGTTATTTCATTTTCCTTCTCACTTCCTCTTATTTTAATTTGTGTAATGTGGCTCTAGAACTCCTGAAAAATGTATTGAATGTAAGGTTTGTTCGTATAACTCGTCTATGATTTTTATAATCGAGATTTAGTTCGATCATAATCGTCTGAAGTCTGTTTTACAATTTATTCAGATCTACTTCGTTGCATTGATTTTAATAAAGAATGCTATAACATGTGCCCAGGAATGTTTCTGTTATTTCATTTTCCTTCTCACTTCCTCTTATTTTAATTTGTGTAATGTGGCTCTAGAACTCCTGAAAAATGTATTGAATGTAAGGTTTGTTCGTATAACTCGTCTATGATTTTTATAATCGAGATTTAGTTCGATCATAATCGTCTGAAGTCTGTTTTACAATTTATTCAGATCTACTTCGTTGCATTGATTTTAATAAAGAATACTATAACATGTGACCAGGAATGTTTCTGTTATTTCATTTTCCTTCTCACTTCCTCTTATTTTAATTTGTGTAATGTGGCTCTAGAACTCCAGAAAAAAGCATTGGATGCAAGGTTTGTTCGTATATCTCGTCTGTGATTTTTATAATCGAGATTTAGTTCGATTGTAACCGTCTGAAGTCTGTTTTACAATTTATTCGGCGGAACATTGCCACTAGCCGTGTGTTTATCGGCCAAATTGACAGAACCTCGACAAAATTTGTAAAGAAACCTAACAAGCTACAAAGTGTCCACTCCAATCCTTGAAAAAATCAAATCTGTGATTATGAGGATGTTCCGATGAGCGTTCGAAACACGCACTGTTGCGCTAATAGAGGAACCTGTCCAGCCGCTATATTGGATTCCTCTCGCCAATCTCGTTGGTACTATAAACTCGTCAAACCATTTGTATTCTGCGTCATTACATCGTTATTGGGTACGTTCTTCTGCAATTAACGCTAATAAATAGCGAAACAAACCGTGAGTGGAACACATTCCATTCAGAAGCTCTTCTCACATTCATTCTTTCACGGAATATTGACATTAAACATACTACGGTGCATCTAACTATTAGTTGATAATTCCTGTTTCAATGTGTACCAAACAAATATCGAAAGTAATAAGTAGACAGTGGATCTTCATGCAAATTCATATTTTGATTAATAAAATTGATGAATTCTTCTGCGATTAACGCTAATAAATAGCAAAATAAACCGTGAGTGGAGTACATTCCATTCGGAAGCTCTTCTCACATTCATTCTTTCACGGAATATTGACATTAAACATACTACGGTGCATCTAACTATTAGTTAATAATTCCTGTTTCAATGTGTACCAAACAAATATCGAAAGTAATAAGTAGACTGCGGATCTTCATGCAAATTCATATTTTGATTAATAAAATTGATGAATTCTTCTGCGATTAACGCTAATAAATAGCGAAATAAACCGTGAGTGGAACACATTCCATTCAGAAGCTCTTCTCACATTCATTCTTTCACGGAATATTGACATTAAACATACTAATTATTAGTTAATAATTCCTGTCTCAATGTGTACCAAACAAATATCGAAAGTAATAAGTAAAAATTCATATTTTGATTAATAAAATTAATGAAATCAGAGCTTTCTAGAGCTGTCTCAACCTCTAAATATAATAATTCGTACCTTACTTTAAGTATTTCTTATATTCTTGCATATAAACTAAATTCTACAGTTTTTTGAAAATTAAAATTCCCCTATAAATGCATAAACACCCGCAGTCTGGTAACAAGCTATTCATTTTTATTATAAATCAAGATAATATGAATTAAAACGAAGAAGGTGTATTTCTTGCGTGTAATTTAATAATTCGTACCTTACTTTAAGTATTTCTTATATTCTTGCATATAAACTAAATTCTACAGTTTTTTGAAAATTAAAATTCCCCTATAAATGCATAAACACCCGCAGTCTGGTAACAAGCTATTCATTTTTATTATAAATCAAGATAATATGAATTAAAACGAAGAAGGTGTATTTCTTGCGTGTAATTAAAATTCCAATTATGTATTAAGAGTGATCAATTTCAGCCATGTCTGTGTCTCATCTCTGCGACAAATATTCAGCAAACAGGACCTTCAAAATAATCAGATCCGACTTGGCGAATCTTCGATCACACTTGAACACACTTTCGGTAATTAGCACACACCGTGGTTTACGCGAATTTCGAAACTTTGCAAATTGTATCTTTAAGCAATGTTCACTTAGATGGAAGTGAAGAACGTGATGGAAACGCGCGACGATTTAAAGAGTAAGTTGAAAGAAGTTGGACACGTGATTCCAAAAATGTCAGAGGCCATTCTTTATTTAAGAAACCAAGTGTCCGAGGGTAACAAAGATTCCACGTATCAATTACAACGCCATAAGCTTTATCGTGTATCACTACTAGAATTGGCTTCCGGGTTGGAGCCGCGTTCAGAAGAGGAGAGAGTCCGACGTTTCGCCAGCATTGCAGCTAGCTTCATCAGGGAATCAAATAATCTCTGATACTGAAGAAGGTATCAGAGGGGACCCTAACTTATACCTGTGTCCATCGTTGCGGATCAGTGCACCATCCAATAGTTTTTAATTGGGCAGCTGGCTCCAACCCGGAAGCCAATTCTAGTAGTAATCACTATGGCCGCGAAAGCCTAAAAAGTATTTATCGTGTATCGTTAATAATTATTTACCAATTTGAAACAGGAATGGATACACACACGAAGGCGTTATTAAAGGCTATGTCCCCGGACAGCGTAAGAGATCTGGTGAAGAGTGAATTACAAACGTACGACGCGGACAAAACCGGAAGAACAGATTACGCTCTCGGAAGTTCAGGTTTTTCGAGAAAGAAAATTCATTTTCGACCATTCAACTAGCAAATTGTTCCCCCTTATTTTTGTGAATATTTAGGTGGCGCAATTCTCTCCACGAGGGACACGGAAACCTACTCTGCAGGTGCACCGGTGCTCAAACTATTTGGAATTCCGATTTGCCAGCAACAAAACACGCCCCAATCGATCATTCAGGTTGCTATGATTTTTAATACGAACAAGGGGTGTATGAATGCAATAAAGCATGATTAACTTTACTAAGAGTTTGTTTCCAACAATGGTACTTTGAGTAAAAGGGATTGGGAGGGATGAATCATGTTAACTGTACAGATTATAGTGAAAATAGTGTATAAAGTGTCGATACTAACCACTTCAATGAAAATCAATTACGTTAGTTCAGTTAATGTGCTTATTGAAATTACAAAATCCCTGTAACTCGAAAACACAATGATTTAGAATAGATAATTTCTATGTAAACTCTTTTTCATTATTTTTGTGGTCCAAATTTTCCTCTATTTGTTTGTCAGTTAGTTATTTAGTTTGCAGTTAGTTAGTTAGTTTGTCAGTTAGTTAGTTAGTTTGTCAGTTAGTTAGTTAGATTTGTCAGTTAGTTAGTTAGTTAGTTTGTCAGTTAGTTAGTTTGTCAGTTAGTTAGTTAGTTTGCAGTTAGTTAGTTAGTTTGCAGTTAGTTAGTTAGTTTGTCAGTTAGTTAATTAGTTTGCAGTTAGTTAGACAGTTTGCAGTTAGCTAGTTAGTTTGTTAGTTTGCAGTTAGTTAGTTGGTAGTATCTATTAGATCGTAAACTAACTTTTAACATCATTTCGAATGTCAATAGTGATGAAATAAAAAGCAGAAACAATTGAGCTTGAAAACATCTAAAATTTACAACCTAATTAGTGTTTAGTTCAGTTAATGTGCTTATTGAAATTCCATAATCCCTGTAACTCGAAAACACAACGATTTAGAATAGATCATTTCTATGTAAACTCTTTTTCATTATTTTTGTGGTCCAAATTCCCCTCTAAGTTATACCTAATATCAGTATATTAGATCGTAAACTAACTTTTAACATCATTTCGAATGTCAATAGTGATGAAATAAAAAGCAGAAACAATTGAGCTTGAAAACATCTAAAATTTACAACCTAATTAGTGTTTAGTTCAGTTAATGTGCTTATTGAAATTCCATAATCCCTGTAACTCGAAAACACAACGATTTAGAATAGATCATTTCTATGTAAACTCTTTTTCATTATTTTTGTGGTCCAAATTCCCCTCTAAGTTATACCTAATATCAGTATATTAGATCGTAAACTAACTTTTAACATCATTTCGAATGTCAATAGTGATGAAATAAAAAGCAGAAACAATTGAGCTTGAAAACATCTAAAATTTACAACCTAATTAGTGTTTAGTTCAGTTAATGTGCTTATTGAAATTCCATAATCCCTGTAACTCGAAAACACAACGATTTAGAATAGATCATTTCTATGTAAACTCTTTTTCATTATTTTTGTGGTCCAAATTCCCCTCTAAGTTATACCTAATATCAGTATATTAGATCGTAAACTAACTTTTAACATCATTTCGAATGTCAATAGTGATGAAATAAAAAGCAGAAACAATTGAGCTTGAAAACATCTAAAATTTACAACCTAATTAGTGTTTAGTTCAGTTAATGTGCTTATTGAAATTCCAAAATCCCTGTAACTCGAAAACACAACGATTTAGAATAGATCATTTCTATATAAACTCTTTTTCATTATTTTTGTGGTTCAAATTCCCCTCTAAGTTATACCTAATATCAGTATATTAGATCGTAAACTAACTTTTAACATCATTTCGAATGTCAATAGTGATGAAATAAAAAGCAGAAACAATTGAGCTTGAAAACATCTAAAATTTACAACCTAATTAGTGTTTAGTTCAGTTAATGTGCTTATTGAAATTCCATAATCCCTGTAACTCGAAAACACAACGATTTAGAATAGATCATTTCTATGTAAACTCTTTTTCATTATTTTTGTGGTCCAAATTCCCCTCTAAGTTATACCTAATATCAGTATATTAGATCGTAAACTAACTTTTAACATCATTTCGAATGTCAATAGTGATGAAATAAAAAGCAGAAACAATTGAGCTTGAAAACATCTAAAATTTACAACCTAATTAGTGTTTAGTTCAGTTAATGTGCTTATTGAAATTCCAAAATCCCTGTAACTCGAAAACACAACGATTTAGAATAGATCATTTCTATATAAACTCTTTTTCATTATTTTTGTGGTTCAAATTCCCCTCTAAGTTATACCTAATATCAGTATATTAGATCGTAAACTAACTTTTAACATCATTTCGAATGTCAATAGTGATGAAATAAAAAGCAGAAACAATTGAGCTTGAAAACATCTAAAATTTACAACCTAATTAGTGTTTAGTTCAGTTAATGTGCTTATTGAAATTCCATAATCCCTGTAACTCGAAAACACAACGATTTAGAATAGATCATTTCTATGTAAACTCTTTTTCATTATTTTTGTGGTCCAAATTCCCCTCTAAGTTATACCTAATATCAGTATATTAGATCGTAAACTAACTTTTAACATCATTTCGAATGTCAATAGTGATGAAATAAAAAGCAGAAACAATTGAGCTTGAAAACATCTAAAATTTACAACCTAATTAGTGTTTAGTTCAGTTAATGTGCTTATTGAAATTCCATAATCCCTGTAACTCGAAAACACAACGATTTAGAATAGATAATTTCTATATAAACTCTTTTTCATTATTTTTGTGGTTCAAATTCCCCTCTAAGTTATACCTAATATCAGTATATTAGATCGTAAACTAACTTTTAACATCATTTCGAATGTCAATAGTGATGAAATAAAAAGCAGAAACAATTGAGCTTGAAAACATCTAAAATTTACAACCTAATTAGTGTTTAGTTCAGTTAATGTGCTTATTGAAATTCCATAATCCCTGTAACTCGAAAACACAATGATTTAGGATAGATCATTTCTATGTAAACTCTTTTTCATTATTTTTGTGGTCTAAATTTTCCTCTATTTGTTTGTCAGTTAGTTATTTAGTTTGTCAGTTAGTTATTTAGTTTGTCAGTTACTTAGTTAGTTTGTAGATAGTTAGTTAGTTTGTCAGTTAATTAGTTAGTTAGTTAGTTTGTCAGTTAGTTAGTTAGTTTGCAGTTAGTTAGTTAGTGTGCAGTTAGTTAGTTAGTTTGTCCGTTAGTTAGTTAGTTTGCAGTTAGTTAGCTTGTTTGCAGTTAGATAGTTTGCAGTTAAATAGTTAGTTTGTAGATAGTTAGTTTGCAGTTAGTTATTTAGTTTGTCAGTTAGTTAATTAGTTTGCAGTTAGTTAGACAGTTAGCAGTTACCTAGTTAGTTTGTTAGTTTGCAGTTAGTTAGTTGGTAGTATCTATTAGATCGTAAACTAACTTTTAACATCATTTCGAATGTCAATAGTGATAAAATAAAAAGCAGAAACAATTGAGCTTGAAAACATCTAAAATTTACAACCTAATTAGTGTTTAGTGTTTAGAGGTACATGTTATTATTGTGTATCATTAGAAATAAACTAATTACACAGACTGGTGTTCTTCCGGGGGAATGCTGGGCCTTCAAAGGCAGCTCTGGAAGCGTTGTTATACAGTTACTTGGTTCTGTGGATGTTTCTGGAGTCAGTCTCGAACACATACCAGAAACTATATCACCTACAGGAGAAACTAGTACAGCCCCAAAAGATTTTTCCATTTGGGTAACTATTATTTTACTATTTCAGGAAACTGTTTGTTTGCAATACACTTTAAACTTGATTAAAACTAAAATTATTGACGAAATGTATGTTTCCATGACACAGAACATAGTTTTAGGTGTTCACAACACATTTTCTAATCCTTTCGATTTATCGTAACTGGAATAATCGATGAAAAATGTTATTCTATTAAACGAATACCTTTTGATATTCTTGATCTCCCAAAATCTCTTCTTTCTGAAGATTTTTCTATAATTATTTCAGCAAGATCTCTAACATAAAAGACCATATTTCACTTGTCAACATAAAGAAATGAAAGAGGTTCTCTTATAATCATGAATATTCTATTTAATTCTAAAATTTATATTTGGAAATTGTGTTTAACATGTTAAGAAATGTTATGTTTCCAAGTAGATTGTAAGTAAACAGTTTTCTAATAGTTTAATTATCAATTTATATCGTAAATGGAATTTTAAGCATTTGTTAATATATTCTCCAGGGATTGGACTGTGTGGAGGATACAAATCCCTTCTTTTTCGGTAACTTTATGTACGACAATACTGGTCCTCCTATACAATATTTCCAGATTCAGGTAAATCAGGAATTGTTATTATACTATTTTACTTTTTCCTGATTTATGCAAATGTTCGTAACTTGTAGAAGGAACCGAAGAAACCATACGAAATAGTCGAATTAAAGATTCACTCGAATAGCGGTAACAACGAATACACCTGCATCTATCGAATACGGGTACACGGTACCCTGTGTCAGAACAATAGATAATTTCATCCTAATTAATCAACGACTCTGAATAAATAATAGAAATTTCGACAAGACTCCGAAGAGATTGGCTCTAAGAAAACTCAAAGGTTACTCACGTAGCATAGTCAATAATTTAATATTGCTTTGGATAGTGTCTTCATGTGTATGTATTATGTATACCTTATCGTATAATAAATAAAGATATATATACTTCCTATTACCATCATTGCTTATATCGCTCACAAATATTTTCGTGATTTGAAATGAAAATAGAGGCTAAATCGACTATCATAGCAAAGGAAATTCCATGAAACAATCATTATTGGTTACGTTAAAAACATTTAGTAGAATTTTTACTAATGAAATCATCCGAATAATTCATTTATCGATAGTAATATTTTAATAAACGATCTAAAACTTTACACGAGTGCAGCTCCAAAGCGATTTGTGTTTTTTATGTAATTGAGCCAGTGTGGGAAGTGGCAAAGCCTCCCCTTTGAAGTGGTTTTTGGTTTTTGTCGATCGGACTTACCGTTTTCGAGATATCGTAATTTATGTGAAAGCGAATTTTTCAATTTCTCAGTCTCCGCCTTAGAAAAGGCTATTAACGCGTATGAAAAATAGTTAAACTTTGGACGCGTGCAGTTCCGAAACTACTAGGGTTTTATTAATTATTAAGGTGTTGTTAGAAGTGGCAAAGCTTCCTCTTTGAAATGGCTTTTGGTTTTTGTCGATTGGACTTACCGTTTTCGAGATATCGTAATTTAAATGAAAAGGTAATTTTCAATTTCTCAGTCTCCGCCTTAGAAAAGGCTATTAACGCTTATTAAAAATAGTTAAACTTTGGACGCGTGCAGTTCCGAAACTACTAGGGTTTTCTTAATTATTGAACCACCGTTGGCAGCGGTGAACCTTCCCCTTTAAAACGGTTTTTGGTTTTTGTCGATCGGACTACCCGTTTTCGAGATATCGTAATTTATGTAAAGGGGTATTTTTCTTAATTTGACTATCTCTGTCTTCGTCTGACGCGTCGCGCTGGACCTCTTTGTCGCACGTGAGTCGTGACTGACGTGACCTACTTCCGCGTAGTATTTCCAAGAATTTACTACGCACTGTTTACTATTTTACGCGCGCTTTATCAATGAACTCTCGCGAGCGCAACAAAACGTAAACAAACCCTATCTCCGAAACTAGCCACCGCATCGACTTGAAACTAAAATCGCTATATCTCCGGAACTAATAAAGCTATCGACTCGTACAAACGCTCATTTTAAAGGGCATTTCATCCCCTATCTGATGACTATACAAACTATTATAATTTATTTTTTCTTCCATGTTTATTTTGCAATTTACTTTGACGCGATCGACTTGAAACTAAAATCCTCATCTCTCCGGAACTAATATCACTATCACCTTCTACAAACGCTCGTTTTAAAGGGTATTTTATCCCCTATCCAATGACTATACCAGCTACTAAAATTTTTGCTGTCTTCTATGTTTATTTTGAAATTTACTTTGACGCGATCGACTTGAAACTAAAATCCTCATCTCTCCGGAACTAATATCACTATCACCTTCTACAAACGCTCGTTTTAAAGGGTATTTTATCCCCTATCCAATGACTATAAAAACTATTATAATTTATGCTATCTTCTATGTTTATTTTGCAATTTACTTTGACCCTATATACTCAGAGAAGTTTCATCAATTCCTACTGATCGTACGACTGTTGTGCGATAAAACTAGATTATTTATGAAACAAAATTCGCTTTCAAGAGTGTCTTTATCCTATCTCCGATGAAAATTACACAAATTTCGACGTAGCTTGTAAATTCTCCATACGAAGTTAAAGTCCCAAGTATTCATATTCATATTAAAATTACTGAATATATTTATACAGATTTTTTAAATGCACATTTCAAGAAAAAAATATGCTTCATAAAAGAGAAAGGTTACGAATAAACTTGAAAAAACAACATTCTATACATATAATTCCAAACATTACGTTCGTTCGATTCTATGTAAATTGGTTATTTAATTAAAAATAAATTAAAATTTGTGTCATTACTAGAAAGAAATGATTTCCAAAGGGTCGGAATGAACCAACCGGGTAAAAATTACGCGAATAAACAATCGATAGATCAATTCAACGTAATCGTCATTTAATTTATTACATTTGTACATATTTAGTCTTGTTCTACGTCTCTATCATCGAGCTCCTTCGCACTTTCACACTCTCACGCACACGCTCATTCGTTCCTCCTCTTTTCCCACCAGAAATCCCTCTTCACTTTCACTCACTCTCACTCTCTCTCTCTCTCTCTCTCTCATCTTTTGTTCCAAATTCAATTCGAGTCCACGTGGGCTATACTAACCGAAAAAAAAATGCGTATACGCAGACATACGCGGCATATCGGGCAGACATAAAGGACGCTTCTTCGCGGCGGTCGCGTGGACCACGCCTGGTACACGTTAACTGCTGTAATTAAAATAGCACATTACTTCTGACGGCGGCTAGCCGTCGTTTTTAAACGTGTTCTTTTTCTTTTAACCATCTCTTCCTCTATTTTCTTTGCTGTACTTTTTTTTTTTCTTTTCTTTTTTTAAATAGACGATTACGCACTGCCTTCCCTAGGGGCGAAGAACAGACTCGAGAGGCACGCGGCAACAAGTACACTGAATAACACGTTATAATTCTGATTACGTTCTTGTACTTATATTCACGTAACTATATACACATGTATGCGTGCATGCACGCGACAGGACACGCGCACGCATATATGTGCACGCGTAAATGTATATACACACACAGAAACGTGATATAATATTTTATATAACCTTGATTCATCTTATATCGATTCATTTTCATCATTATTTTTTTTTTTTTTCTTTAGCTTCTTATTGCGGATAAGAGGTATACCGCCCGCTCTGGTGCGCACATAGATTAGAGAATTTCCTTATCTTTTTACATACTTTTTTTTTTCTGTCTTTGCTAATGATACATGTGCAGCTGATCGGCGAATTTTTCACGCGTTTAACACGATCGTTCCGTGGCTAAAGTAAACTATAATTCGGAGATCAGTCGTCTAACGCTATCGAGCTATCGAGATTCGGTCGTGGTGCCGAAGAGACGCGCGCGTATGATTATGCGAATACACTGGAATCTAAGAGGATCCGATTAAAAGGTCTGGGTTAGGTCTGGGTTAGGTCTGGATTAGACCTGAATTAAGTCTGGGTTAGGTCTGGGTTAGGTCTGGATTAGATCTGAGTTAGCTCTGGGTTAGGTCTGGATTAGATCTGAATTAGATCTGGGTTAGGTCTGGTTTAGGTCTGGGTTAGGTCTGGGTTAGGTCTGGATTAGATCTAGATTAGATCTGGGTTAGGTCTGGATTAGATCTAGACTAGATCTGGGTTAGGTCTGGGTTAGGTCTGGATTAGATCTGAGTTAGGTCTGGGTTAGGTCTGGATTAGATCTGAGTTAGCTCTGGGTTAGGTCTGGATTAGAACTGAATTAGATCTGGGTTAGGTCTGGTTTAGGTCTGGTTTAGGTCTGGGTTAGGTCTGGGTTAGGTCTGGATTAGTTAATAATCTAAATTATCTTAACCCTTTGCACTCCTATGTCGAGTGTGATTCGACATCAATTTTGATCTCAGGATCACCTTCGTCAAGTCTCACTCGACATTCTTTCAAGTCCAAACCAAACCAAATCATACACTTGGAAATTACAAAATACTACAACAGTGTAAATGAGACCTAACCCAGACCTAACCCAGATCTAATCCAGATCTAACCCAGACCTTTCAAACGGATGGTATTACTCGACTATCCGCGTCCACTGCGTCCAGGGCAGCACGATCGATCAATCGAAGGGAAAGTCAGACGGATTTGTTGCGATAAAACGATTTAACAGATTTCGGTGAAACGAATCGACCGTCTCGCGGTATCAATTACCAGCTGTCTCGATCAACAATTCAATCGGTTACACAGAGAGACTATTACTAGTAATAGTTCGCTACGGCTATGATTATCGAACGATCCAAGTTACGGTTTAAATACAGGCAGCTGATGATCGATCCTAGAACGGAAACACGGATCGATCGATTCTCGCGATCGGTCGACCGATCGTTCGACTCTGTCACGTGGCGCACAGCGCTCGTTTACGCCTGGCAACATACACAATAACTTCAAGTCAACGAAAAGGAGGCGCCGATTGCCATTTATTTTGATCGTAGCGAGGGCACCACCACCGCACGAAGGTTCGTCAACGTTCGTCAACGTTAGAAGGCATAGAGTTTATTTACTTTATTATTATTATTTATTTTTTTTCTTCTTTTTCTTTTGTTGGATTTATTCCGACAATCGTTAAATATTACCGCACGCGGTAGTATCAAAATAAACCACACCGAGTGTAGAGTATGTAGAATATTCGTAAGTGTATGTATGTACAGTAGAGCTTCCTATTATAGTATGCGTAGCGCCGGTGGAAGAGACCCAACGATTCTGTATCTACATTCAAAGATTAGACACTTTTCCTACGTTATAGTCTCGTCAAACGCTGAAAATTACGATCTCTACCACGAAACACACTTTACATCGTGTTATAGCAATCGATTCTAATCCCTGTCACGACTCTACCAAAGTAAAAGCTCTTTTCTCAAACGTAAACCAAAAGTGAAAGAGAAAGAACTGCACTTTTAGTAATTATAGTAGTGTTTTACTAAATTTATCAACTCGATTGTCTCAGGGACAGTTTACCCTATCTCTTCCACCGACGATGCATAACATGGGCGTAAATAAACTATGGTTCAAACGTTAGAGTTCGATAGAACTCGTTTAAAGAAATAGGAAAGTCTCAGTGAACATATCTTTGGAAATTAATAGTTTCGAAGATCTTCGAACTTAAGATTAATTCTGGTGATCGTATAAAAAACCATCGATTAAAGCAACCAAAGAATCATAAGCCTAACTTAGTACCTAATAATTCTATAAGAAATTTCAATAATAAAAATTGGCAAGAATTAAAACATTTTCTAATCGATAATGTATACTTTCTTAAAGTTGATTAGTTTAGAAATTACGATGAGAATCATTGAAGTACTCGAAGTGTATTTGCTACCTTTGTGCGCTGAGTTTTCTATTAGAATAATATTTATAAAACACCCTGTAGCTAAAAGCATGGAAGCTGTTAATTCCCAGATACATATTTACCAAAGATTTCTTGTCCCTTCGAACGAATTCCAACGATATCTAAGATTTGTACCTAAGGTCTGTTCACCCACAGAATATTATACATTTCGTGTATTTTCTTACCCAGAGGCATTACACGTGTCTTCGTTTTTTTTATTAAAAAATCAGCTACATGTCTAATTGTTGCTTCTCCTTTGTTGTTGTTTACTTGTCGCTATTTCACCGATGTTCTGTTTGCCGTTATAGGAAATACACTACGATTAAAGTATATCACAGATGTTAACGAGAAGAACGTTCTAGAACGCGTAAATGAAACGTAGAGGAAAACAGAGAGCATTCCACGATCGTTGGTCGCCGCAGGATTTATCCGGAAGTACACGGCAGCTGGCTCGACATAGCTTTCCACGTGAAACATTGTCGTGTGAACCAATTGACATGGATAATAAGGATTGATTGTACGAGTTTCAATTTGTATTAAAGATTATCACAACGTCGGATTAGTCTTAAGGTCTTGATCACATTTACCGCGAACTCGACTAAGATGTACAGTGGGTAGCGAAAGAGACAAAAATACCATTATAATCGACTAAACTACGAACTGGCCGTTATTACTTTAGCCAATCGTAACAATATTTGTTCACCCTTCCCCCTACCTCCACCCCCACCCCCTCCTCCCCTTTCCTTCGACTGGTACGTTGGTTCTGAAAATATTCAATATGAAGGTACGTCTTACGTCTAGTGTTTTTTTTTTTTTCCTTTTTTTTTCCGTTAACGATTTTATATTCTTTACAGCTAAAATCTTCGCTACGTTTTATTCCCGAAAAATGTTCTTTTTTATCTAGATTTTTTTCTGGCACTTCGGTAAACGACCGTTTTCATCGGGTTTTTTTTGGCACCTTTCGTTCCATCGTCGAGAGCTACCACGATCCGCCATGGTTTCTCGAAACACCCCTGCGAACGACACGCGTTTAATTTCATCGAGCTGGAGAAAAAGGAAAGGCGAGAAAGTGTGGTCCGATTAATTGCAATTGTCGCGTAGACTCGACAGATTCTACCTAATAGCTACTATATCCTCTAATTATCGGCGCAGACTACGTCGTTCTTCTTTTCTACCAATTCCTACGTAATCGACCTCTCTCACACGACGTTTTGTAACGTTTCCGGAACGTAAAACCAGTTCCGCTGGCAATAATAGATTGTCATAGGTTTTAAGTGCGTTATACTTGCGTTTATCGCTAGCGCGCTTTCATTAGTTCATTATTTGTACGAGCCACGGGCTGCCCACGCTCGTGCTGAATAGTTTAATTATTACTCCCGTATTCGCGCGATTATTACATTTCTCCATTCGGTGGTAAAGAGTGTGCTGTTTAATCTCTTCCTCCATCACCCTAAAGTTCTCTAATTCTCGGCGGTTTCTTCCATCTTTTTTTTGGCAAATTCACGGCGACGAAGTGACTAGAATATAACGACTATATTGTCATGCACTACAGTCTTTCTTAGAGCCCAGCAGTTGAACCCTCCGCAGCACTCTCCATGGTACTTCGCCGTGGATACCATGGTTGGCTAACAGTTGCATAAAAATTTATACCTTTTTGAACCATTCAAACGCGAAGAACGATGTTTCTATTCCTCGATTAAGAAGGATCCGACGGTCTATCGAATCTCTCGGACCTGTTCTCTTCGTCCACTTCCGTCTCGTCAGTTTCCTCGCGCGTTTTCGCGATCGAGGATACCATTGTCGATGCATCCGGTGTCTCGTCGCTGTACATCCTCCTACGATGATTGTTGCTGCTCGTCGAGTCGGTATCGTCCACGTATATTCTGACATCGGAGCCAATGGTGGCGCAAACGGTTTCCGGCACGTAGACCACGGCGCTATCGCTTATATTGCTACCAGAGATCGGCAATGGCTCATCGCACCTCTCCTCGGCAACGTAGATGCGCCCGTAGCTTCCGGCCCGACTCGATGGACCGTATTGATCCGCCACGTTGCTCAACGCTACCGACGAACTTCCGCTCTTCAGCTTGGACGGTCTCCTTTCGTTAATAACGGACTGCACGTCGAGATCGTCCGTCATCTTTGGATCCTCCGACTTCCCCGTGCTCTTCGACGTGTCGTTTCCGGCGTAAACCTCCGGCTGGGATTGCGTATCGCTCGATGCTCTGCGACTTAACGTTGCCTTGGACGGGTAAATGTTGGCCGTTGGCAGAAGATAACGTTCGCTGCTCAGTTTTGGGCACGTTAAACCGGCCGGAGTCATCGGTGGTGACTTGCACACGCTCAACAGGGACTTGTTCTCTTGCGCCTCGCTGGTTGCCTGCGAACATAGATTATTCACTATTTTAACGATTTATGCAGCTACTAGTCTTAATGTTTTTATCGAAAATTGTAAATGATTCTTGAAAACAACTGGTGTAAATGGTTTTATCGAAAATTGTAGAGTAATGATTCTTGAAATGAACCTGAGGAAAGCAACTAGTGTTATTGTTTTTATCGAAAGTTGTAGAGTAATGATCCTTGAAATGAACCTGAGGAAAGCAACCAGTGTAAATGTTTTTATCGAAAATTGTAGAGTAATGATCATTGAAATGAACTTGAGGAAAGCAACTAGTGTACATGTTCTTATCCAAACTTGTAGAGTAATGATTCTTGAAATGAACCTGAAGAAAGCAACTAGTGTTAATATTTTGATCGAAAATTGTAGAGTAATGATTCTTGAAATGAACCTGAGGAAAGCAACCAGTGTATATGTTTTTATCGAAAATTGTAAATGATTCTTGAAATGAACTTGAGGAAAGCACCTAGTGTAAATGTTTTTATCGAAAATTGTAGAGAAATGATTCTTGAAATGAGCGTCAGGGAAATTTCCTGATTTCCTAAAGGGTATAGCCGAATAAGGGGGTCAAATGTGCCCTTGAACGAAATGTGACATACGATGGATCCATCGATAGAGCATCAAGAAAAAACGTTCTGTGCCAAATTTTAACCCTCTATCTTGTTTAGAAGGGTAGTTATTGAGAAAATTCGGATTAACGAATTTCTGGCTATTTCTCCTATTTAATCGAGTAGAAAAATTATGAAAAAAATCTGGTGCATTGCGGTTATTGAGATACGTGTTTGACAATTTTTTCCGATTTTTCGATTCCAAATCCTAGGTGTGAAAAATTGAAAACGCAAAAAAATACCGATTTCGTATTGAAGCTTTCGAGACACTAGATTTATATAATTACTGTAAATGCGTATTGTCATTGGTTATCTCCCTGAATTTTTTCAGATTTTTTGATTCCAAATCGTAGGCGTGAAAAATTAAAAACGCAAAAAAAATACCGATTTCGTATTGAAGCTTTCGAGACACTAGATTTCTATAATTACTGTAAATGCGTATTGTCATTGGTTATCTGCCTGAATTTTTTCCGATTTTTCGATTCCAAATCCTAGGTGTGAAAAATTGAAAACGCAAAAAAACACAGAAAAATACCGATTTCGTATTGAAGCTTTCGAGACACTAGATTTATATAATTACTGTAAATGCGTATTGTCATTGGTTATCTCCCTGAATTTTTTCAGATTTTTTGATTCCAAATCGTAGGCGTGAAAAATTAAAAACGCAAAAAAATACCGATTTCGTATTGAAGCTTTCGAGACACTAGATTTCTATAATTACTGTAAATGCGTATTGTCATTGGTTATCTGCCTGAATTTTTTCCGATTTTTCGATTCCAAATCCTAGGTGTGAAAAATTGAAAACGCAAAAAAATACCGATTTCGTATTGAAGCTTTCGAGACACTAGATTTCTATAATTACTGTAAATGCGTATTGTCATTGGTTATCTGCCTGAATTTTTTCCGATTTTTCGATTCCAAATCCTAGGTGTGAAAAATTGAAAACGCAAAAAAACACAGAAAAATACGGATTTCGTATTGAAGCTTTCGAGACACTAGATTTCTATAATTACTGTAAATGCGTATTGTCATTGGTTATCTCCCTGAATTTTTTCAGATTTTTTGATTCCAAATCGTAGGCGTGAAAAATTAAAAACGCAAAAAAATACCGATTTCGTATTGAAGCTTTCGAGACACTAGATTTCTATAATTACTGTAAATGCGTATTGTCATTGGTTATCTGCCTGAATTTTTTCAGATTTTTTGATTCCAAATCGTAGGCGTGAAAAATTAAAAACGCAAAAAAATACCGATTTCGTATTGAAGCTTTCGAGACACTAGATTTCTATAATTACTGTAAATGCGTATTGTCATTGGTTATCTGCCTGAATTTTTTCCGATTTTTCGATTCCAAATCCTAGGTGTGAAAAATTGAAAACGCAAAAAAACACAGAAAAATACGGATTTCGTATTGAAGCTTTCGAGACACTAGATTTCTATAATTACTGTAAATGCGTATTGTCATTGGTTATCTGCCTGAATTTTTTCCGATTTTTCGATTCCAAATCCTAGGTGTGAAAAATTGAAAACGCAAAAAAACACAGAAAAATACGGATTTCGTATTGAAGCTTTCGAGACACTAGATTTCTATAATTACTGTAAATGCGTATTGTCATTGGTTATCTCCCTGAATATTTTCAGATTTTTCGATTCCAAATCCTAGGCGTGAAAAATTAAAAACGCAAAAAAATACCGATTTCGTATTGAAGCTTTCGAGACACTAGATTTATATAATTACTGTAAATGCGTATTGTCATTGGTTATCTCCCTGAATATTTTCAGATTTTTCGATTCCAAATCCTAGGCGTGAAAAATTAAAAACGCAAAAAAATACCGATTTCGTATTGAAGCTTTCGAGACACTAGATTTCTATAATTACTGTAAGTGCGTATTGTCATTGGTTATCTCCCTGAATTTTATCAGATTTTTCGATTCCAAATCCTAGGCGTGAAAAATTAAAAACGCAAAAAAATACCGATTTCGTATTGAAGCTTTCGAGACACTAGATTTCTATAATTACTGTAAATGCGTATTGTCATTGGTTATCTCCCTGAATTTTTTCAGATTTTTCGATTCCAAATCGTAGGCGTGAAAAATTAAAAACGCAAAAAAATACCGATTTCGTATTGAAGCTTTCGAGACACTAGATTTCTATAATTACTGTAAATGCGTATTGTCATTGGTTATCGCCCTGAATTTTTTCCGATTTTTTGGTAGGGTGCGCCGTAGTAGGAAAAATCAAAAACCGATTTTTTCGACGTTTTTCGCGTGTAAAAGCATCTTATACTTTAAATTTTTGTATTCTCTTTAATAGATAACTAGATTGTATGGTTTTAAACATTTCTATGTTGAGCAGAACAGTGTATACAAGAAGAAAAGATTGTTCGTTCTTATTTATATTTGTTGAGAATAGATATATTTTCAATGTCTAGTTTTTCGCGTCCGTGTCTTGTAATATCCATTATTATACTTTCCAATAAACCATATTTTCTCCTGCATGTAAGTTCAATCTTTCATAACGATAGATCCTCAACAATATTTAGGAGATTTTACCTGTAACCGTTGACGTTGCACGTGATCACGATTGGCCGTGCCGTAGGTGTGCTGTGAGATAATTCGAGGAACGCTCAGGTTGCTCACAGGCTTCTCGAAAACTTCAGCGACCTCGAAGTGCATCGGCAGTAAGGATCTTCTTTGCTGATGGCCCGAATGAAATGTTTGTCGACGCTTTGACTTGAACTTGGACGGTCTCGAATTAGGACGATGATACGAGCTGCGACGCGACAATGACATGGAGGATCCATCTGGAAACATAGTCGAGAAACACAGTTCAGGCCAAAATATATTGTCACAGAGTTCTGTAACTTGAAATATGGAATCGATGGAAACGTACCATCTGTACTTCTCTCTCGCGGTGGATTGTAAATGAAATTCGCAGGCAAGGAACGGACTTTGGCGAGGCCGGGCCTGCTCACCGGGATCTTCTCGTTCGTCACTAAAATGGATTCGCGTTCTCTGACGTCGTCGTCGTCCCCTACATCCTCGCCATCTCTCTCTCGTTTCTCAACGTCGTCCTCATCCTCCTCTTCCTCCACCTCCAGCAGCTCTTCCTGTTCCGCGGCTAGTTCCCTTTCCAGCTGCGTCTCCATGTCGAGCTCGTCCTCCATCTAACAAACAAACGTTAAATAATCCTCACGTGACGAGTGTAAAACCTGAAAGTTTCTCTGTCAGGCCCTTACTTGTTTGTGACTCTCTTCTAGGTGTTTCATGAGCACCGCAACAACGACGTTCACGAGAACAAATTGCGCCATCAGCACGAATATTACAAAAAAAATCGGAGCTATTATAGTGCTGACGCAACAATTCTTCACGCAGTCCGCTGCTTCGTCGCAGTCGTCCCTTAAAGTGTCCTTCATGATACCGTTCCAATTGTCACCGGTGGCGACACGAAACAGCGTCAGAAATGCCATACCGAAATTACTGAAGTGGGCGTGTTCACCAAGTCCCTGACAAGGCATTTCGTCATTACATTCTACAACGAAGTAACTCGTATTAACGGAAACAATTACTAGGGCTTATTTTGATAATCATTACTGAAATTATAAAGCTCTAGGGTAATTGCAAGCGTATGTATGTGGTACTTGCCTAAACGACCGAAAAGTTCCACTCCAAGAGCCGCGAATATGAAGAAGAGCAAAAAGAACAGCAGACCCAGGTTTCCGACTTGCGGCAATGCCTGCATCACCGTATCCAAAAGGGCTCGTATTCCTTTCGCCATTTTCAGCAGTTTTAAAACTGTGAAAAAGTATCCCTCGATTAGGTAAATCGATCGATCTATTTAGAATGCACATCAAATTCTCTTTTACCTCTTGCGATTCGTAAAACCCGCATCACGCGGATTATGGTTGGATTGATCGGAATGATTTTCGACTCCACTTCTTCGAGAACAATGCCAACCACCGAGAGTATCACGATTCCTACGTCTAACTGATTCCATCTGAAAGGAGACGTTTTCAGTGCAACACGTGAGATCGTGTTTTTTTCACCTAGAAGCACTGGAAATTGGCTTACTTGTCTTTAAGATAAAGGTGCAGACCCAAAGCAAGAAGCTTCATGAAGGATTCGAGGATGAAGACTGCGGTAAAGAAATAATTAAATATCTTTAGAGCGTAAGTCAAAGCTTTCGGCATCATGTAAAACTCCATCGCCATTGTAACAACATTCAGGCCGATTACCGCAGCGATTGCTAGGTCGAAATACTTAGACGTCACGACGTTATGAACGAAGAGCCGGGATTTCGAGTAATTCGTGTAATAAGGTGGCTCGTGCATCTCTGAAACACGAATCATCAACGTAACGATCTCACCAAACCACTGCGTTTTAGAATTGGCCAAATTGCAAATTTAAATTGAGTTCTTTAACACTTTGACTGCGTCAGGTCGAACTCAACTAATAGCTAGAGGATAGGGAACAGCTATCTTCGCCATTTATTCTCTGTTTGCAAAACTACAGATTGACCAATCAAGTTTGATTCGACTGTAACGAAATTAGGGTCCCTTACTTCGCCGTTTTTTCTCCATTTGTAAGGCCCGTTTGGCGGCTCTTCGAACACGCTCCTCTTTCTCTTGCTCCTCGCGACACCTGTGAAAGTTTTCCACCACAACGCCTACGAACATATTAAGCACGAAGAAACCGACGAGTAGGATGAAAGCTATAAAGTACAGCAGCCGCCACTCTGAGTAATTCTCGATTGGCTGTAACAGAACGAAGCGTGATAGCTTTTTATCCTGTGGCGATCCAGAGAATTAACGCTTTCAATTTTTCCAAAATACTCGAACGGTTGTTCTCAACATTTTCAATTAAGTTGAGGGAGTTATTTGTTTTAATTACCTGTTGATCGACACCGACAGCATCGAGACCGGTATACATGATGTTCACCCATCCATCGCGTGACGAAAGCACGAACAGCGACATCAAAGCTTTCCCGAGATCGTCGAAATTATACTTTCTATTCTGCCAAACGTTTCGTTTGTCGGCTAGGCAGTCCGTCTTATTGCGCACACTTTGTATATCAGGCCCCTCGCAATAATAAAAGGCACCCTTAAAGAGCTGCACGCCCAAGATACCGAAGATTACGAAAAAAGTACAGCATATCAAAACGATGTTGCCGATAGGTCGTAAAGAGGATAACAATGTCTGAACAACAAGCTTCAAACCAGGAGCTCGATTAATAACCCGTAATGGTCTCAGCGACCTTAAAAGTCTAAAAACCTGCGAAATAACGATTCACAAATAATTAAAGACACTGTGCACACTGTGTTCGGTCAACCCTCGACTAAATTTTAATAAGAGAAATACAGTTATTCACAAAATTATTGTTTCAAATTATTAATTACATTTGACACATTCTCGAATTTTTTTCACGAAAGTGAGTAGGATTTTGGGGGTATGTGTATTGACAAAAAGTGATTATAATTGACCCCTGTTATCAAAAATAATTTTTTCAAAACGATTTGAAATTTTTTTTTTCGCTTAAAAATTTAGGTATTTCCAGAATTTTTTTCTCGAAAATGCGTAGGATTTTGGGGGTATATGTATTCACCAAAAATGATTGTATTTGACCCCAGAATCTAGAAATAATTTTTTCAAAACGATTTGAAATTTTTTTTTTCGCTGAAAAATTTAGGCATTTCCAGAATTTTTTTCTCGAAAGTGGGGAGGATTTCGGGGGTATGTCTATTGACCAAATATGATTGTAATTGACCCTTGAAACCAAAAATAATTTTTCCAGAACGATTTGAAATTTTTGAATTTTGTCGAAAAATTTCATACCTTCTCGAATTTTTTGTTCGAAAACGCGTAGGAATTTGGGGGTACGTCTATTCACCAAAAATGATTGTAATTAACTGTCCTAGCAAAAGATATTTTTTTTAGAACGATTTGACATTTTTTTTTTCATCGAAAAATTTTATTCCTTCTCGAATTTTTTTCTTGAAAACGCGTAGGAATTCCGGAGTATGCTTATTCACCAAAAATGATTGTAATTAGCTCTCCTAGCTAAAAATAATTTTTCCAGAACGATTTGAAATTTTTTAATTTTGTCGAAAAATTGCATATCTTCTCGAATTTTTTTCTCGTAAATGCGTAGGATTTTGGGAGTATATGTATTCACGAAAAATGATTGTAATTTACCCCCCTAATCGAAAATAATTTTTCCAAAACGATTTGAAATTTTTTTTTCGCCGAGAAATTTGTCAACGTTCCTGAATTTTTTTCTCGAAAGTGCGTAGGATTTCGAGGGTATGTCTATTCACCAAAAATGGTTGTATTTGACCCCAGAATCTAGAAATAATTTTTGTAGAACGATTCGAAATTTTTTTTTTTCGCCGGAAAATTTAGGCACCTACCCCCTGTCGATTTTCCTTAAAAATCAGTTTTTTATTTTTAGTAAGTTTGTTTGACGTCCTACAGAAAAGTTGTCTAATACTTTTTTGTAGGTACCCATGGGCTCTACTTCAGAAATAAATTTCAATCAAATCCATTCACTATTATAGGAGTTATGGCTGTTTGAAAATTGGACCTGTTTTATGGGGGTTTTCCTCATTTTGCGGGGTCAAGGATCAACTTTTTGAATATTTTTGCGATTCCTACCTATTCTCCACTAAAATACGCGTTGTTTGCCGTTTGGAACATTAAAATCCTTCAATCCGTTCAAGAGTTATGATGTTTTAAACATTCGCCTGATATTTCAGTGAAACATATCAACGCATGGTCAGACATTTCAGTAAGGAATTTTTTTCTCGAAAATGGTTAGGATTTCGGGGGTATATCTAATCACCAAAAATGCTTGTAATCGACCCCTGCAACCGAAAATAATTTTTCCAAAATGATTTGAAAATTTTTAATTTTGTCGAAAGTTTCACACCTTCTCCAATTTTTTTCTTAAAAGTGCGTAGGATTTCGAGAGTATGTCTAATCACCAAAAATACTTGTAATTGACCCCCACAGCCAAAAATATTTTTTCCAGATCGATTTGAAATTTTTTTTTTCGCCGAAAAATTTTCCGGTCAGTATGGATCTTTAAAAATTAATAACTTTTTAGCGAAGCCTCAATCAACAAATTGATATTCTTGATTTTCGTTTTATTTTGATCTCTAGAATCTCCCATTAAAATTTTTCAAAGGTGGCCGAACACCTTGTATAAGATTTGATAGAAAATGATAAAAAAAAGATTTCTGATGTACATTATGTATAGAAAAATGTACAGAGAAGGAGGATAACTAAAAAATGTGATGGAAATAATCTCTTGGTTGAATTAAAAATAATTAAAAATTATTATTAACGTTGTTTTCAAGCTTCAAGAATTAGGGGTTGCTATTTTATTAACGACGAACATACCCTCAATATTCCAAATATTCTCGGACTACTCGACGAAAGTAGAGACATTGATAAATCGATAATGGAAATGATCACAAGAACTCCGTCCATAATGTTCCAGCCAGAAGTAAAGTAAGCGTCCGAGCCGTACAGCATACCAGATGCAACGACCTACGATAAATGACTCGTGAAAACGAATTGTTCCCCTTATTGAGAATCGATTTTCTCTCATAAATAGTTGACCACCTTGATGAACATTTCGACAGCAAACACTCCAGTAAAAACGTAGTTCGCTGTCGCTAAAAAAAGTCTTTCCCCGCTGTCTGGTGGTATATTCGGCCGCTCCATCGCCAACGTTATACAATTCAGACCAATGAAAAAGAGGACCACGTTGTCGAACCATCTTTGATCGACCAACATTCGACAGAAAACACGAAACCTGGAACGCCAAACAATACATACGTAAACTACTTCGATCGAATGCTCTATTAAACAATTACTTGGACGTAGAGATCAAAGTAATAAATCATTTTCATTTCCACGAAACATTAAAAACGAAATCAGTCAAAAGGCGTTTCAATGATCGATGGTTAATTTTTAATTTGGGTCCCAAAATCTCGCGATAGTTAACCGTGTATTTAAATGAACTTACCTATTATTTAGCGGAAAAAGATAGAGCGAATAATCATCGCGCTCTTTAAGGCAACCTTTAGGTTCGAAGAACATGAAGATCTTTTTAATTCTCTCGATACTACTCGCGCTTCCGTGGCCGTTCAAAGGAGGCGCCTGGTCGTCTGTGCGCGGATTGTCGTCTTCTTGATCAGGAAGTTGTTTAATTCTAGGCAGTGGACCAGTCTCCATCGACAAATTATTGACTGTACGTGCCGTTGAGCATTGGATTGGCACCTCGTCCAGAGGCAAGGTTTTTCTCGTCGGCGACTGAACGTTCTCGTAACCGCGCAGCGAGTTTCTGCGCGATAGATCGCCGATCCAACGCATCTTAAAACACATATCACAGACGTTAGACTCGCTCACACAGTGGCGACATGTTTCTGACAGACGAAAACGAGTCTTGTTGATTCTAGATACCTCTTACGTTCGCTAGTGTAACTAATATGTGAAACATCTTTCACGAAATTTATAGATCTGTAGATTTATAGATATTGTGATTCTTTAAACGTATCCTAATACTGTTTCACGCAGGGTGTTTAGAGAAATTGATACGAGTAAAGAAGAGTATACGTTTCCATTAAAAGAAAGATTTTTGAATTTGCATTTTTCGAGTGTGTAATTTATAAAAAAAAAAAGTGAAATAGAAGGATAGACCATTAGCATACTATACAACTTTTTGTATATATGTTACAGTGAAACACCGAAATCTGGAGAATGTCGACTTTCACCGGTGAATGTCAACATTCACATAGTCGCTTAGTGTATGACCGAAATATTTGCTAAACACCCTCATTTCTGACTTACACCGGTAAATGTTGACATTCACCATGCACTAATGGTGAGTGTTGAATATGTTGGAGATTTATATTTTCTTCTCCGTAATTCAGTCGCTATAAAACGTCACAAGGGTGACGTAACTTTTTCGCCTCTCTTTCTGAAAGGATCTAACCCAGACCTAACCCAGATCTAGTCTAGATCTAACCCAGACCTAACCCAGATCTAATCTAGATCTAACCCAGACCTAACCGAGATCTAATCCAGATCTAACCCAGACCTAACCCAGACCTAACCGAGACCTAACCCAGGCCTAACCGAAATCTAATCCAGACCTAACCCAGACCTAACCGAAATCTAATCCAGACCTAACCCAGACCTGACCCAGACCCTAGATTTCGGTTAGGTCTGGGTTAGGTCTGGATTAGATCTGAGTTAGGTCTGGGTTAGGTCTGGATTAGATTTCGGTTAGGTCTGGGTTAGGTCTGGATTAGATTTCGGTTAGGTCTGGGTTAGGTCTGGGTTAGGTCTGGATTAGATTTGAGTTAGGTCTGGGTTAGGTCTGGATTAGATCTGAGTTAGGTCTGGGTTAGGTCTGGATTAGATTTCGGTTAGGTCTGGGTTAGGTCTGGGTTAGGTCTGGATTAGATTTGAGTTAGGTCTGGGTTAGGTCTGGATTAGATCTGAGTTAGGTCTGGGTTAGGTCTGGGTTAGGTCTGGATTAGATCTGAGTTAGGTCTGGGTTAGGTCTGGGTTAGGTCTGGATTAGATTTGAGTTAGGTCTGGGTTAGGTCTGGATTAGATCTGAGTTAGGTCTGGGTTAGGTCTGGGTTAGGTCTGGGTTAGGTCTGGAATAAGTCTGAATTAAGTCTGGGTTAGGTCTGGATTAGGTCTGGGTTAGGTCTGGGTTAGAAAAAGATCACGATTTACTGCAGTATCCATTTAGTATAAATTAGGGTATCGGAAAAAAAATTAAGAAAACGTTGCTCGCGTTATCAAAGCTTGCATAAGACTGACAAAGCTGATTGACTCCGAGCAGAACAAAGGATTTGGGAGGAGAGAGCCAGTCGCTTGTTTTTTGACTCTTCTGTTTTGGACCTCCACCAGAGCATATCTGTGATTGTCGACACACACCGGAGAGGGTCCGAATGTACAACAATGTAATGAAATATTCGATCTTTCACCGACGTATTTGGTATCTGTTGACATTCACCGGTGAAAGTTGACATTCTCCAATTTCGGTCATTCACGGTAACATATATACAAAATGTTGTATTTGAAATATATATAGTAATTTTCTTTTATAATTTAATCCAGTTACCTGATTGGGCGTCGCTGTATAGCGTCGTATGGAAGAGCTACGACTTCCAATGGAATTATTAGGACTGAGGCTACGATTATTGCTGGTTAGGATGGTCGTTCGATTATTTGGCGTGTCACTTTGCGTGTCGTTTCGTATCGAACCGTGCAGATATCCGCCGTTGAAACTGAAAATTCATTTCACAAAGTATAACTTCCGTTTCAAACGTTTCCTTCTATTATAAGCTGCAGGAAATTTCGTTGCAATAATATTTAGTGGATATTTGATATTTATTAGTTGAATCTTGGCTTACGTTGAATTAGAACCGAGAAGAGCGCTTCGACCGTTGTTCAAAACAGTGGCTCGTCCAAGGGGTTCGTCTTCCGGTTGCGACCAGCGTTTCCTGGTCAAAGATGGCCGCGATAGTTTCCATGAATAACCCCTCTGTATTCTTGGTGGACTGTAACCAGAAGAAAAATGAAGTTTCCACGCACTTTCGATGGAATAACTTCGAAGTTGTATCAATGTCGTGTAAAAGTTTCTATTAAAAATTCGAATCGCGTTAGGTTGTCCCATAGAAGACCCTTTCGTAATTTTCACGGTCTCAATGAGCAACATCTGAAGAAATACGTGGTGTCAGGTCTATTTTCTAATTGTCTCCTAGTTTTTGAACACTGTATTTGCTCGTTCCAAAAAGTTCTATTCTACTTCTATTCTGAATTATGGAAAACCAGAGAAAGTGTTCGCTTTTCTTGCTTTTAGTACCTGGAACTGGACGATTCTCGTGTCGCGGGATTAACAGCAGCAGTAACGAGACTTATTCGCCTGGGAAACTGTCCAGCGATGAGGTTTTTGGTTGGTATTTTGTTCGTGACGTCTGGTAGTTTCAACAATCCCGAAGGTATGCTACATTGGCTCTGTAAAAAGAAAATTTTCACGAAATATCTAAGAATTTAACACCTTGAATTTAAGAAATCGATCTTCTGAAAATTACACAGTGATCTTACTCCTTTAACACTAGATTTACGGAAGCCGTCAATTTGACGGATGTTTGATTCCATATTTAAAATTGCAGAACGCGTAAATATTATTTTTTAACAACTTATGTTGAATTTAATTGATGCAATGGCATGAATACATATTCTAATTAAAAAAAAAATCGTATTGTAAGGTAATCGTCGACATGAAAGGTATCAATAAATATACGTGCGATCAATGAACGTAAATCTAGTGTTAATAAGGTATATTAATTGAAATAGTGTACTTACACCCGAACGATCGATCGACTCGATCGATAGGGCCGCGGTTGGGTAAACAGCTTGACAGTTCAAGTCTCTGTAGCCGACGTCGAGGGTGGTGTTTGGTGAATCTTGAGGGGTGGCTGCTGTGTGGGTGATTATGGGCGGCTGTCCCGCGCTCCCCATCATTTTATTTTCTTTCTGTATGTTGCACTTTGGCTCGTCCATCTGCTTCTTCCAAACGGTGTTTTGCTTTTCTCTGCTGTTGTTGTCTTTGTATTTGCGCAGCTCTTCCGCGCTCTGCCACGAGTTCTTTCGATCCTGCATTTCCAGAACAATCTTCTCTTTTATTTAAATACTTCGTTTCGCTAAATTGTGCAATATTTAGTCACCGATCATTTCTGTAACTTCTATAAATCTGTTGGATATTATACAAGAATCCATGAGTGTTGAACTTGGTTTATTAACAGTATAATAACAGTGGACTTTAGCGTAAGCAGCAATATATAAATTTTATTAGACACGAAGATACAAAACAGAACGAACTGAACAGAATGAACAAAAAACAATTAATGAGGAAACAAAAAACTCATTATCACAGATCGATAATATCAACGTCACTCCGCCGTACTTCATTCATTCGGATATCGTTGTTCTCCAACAATGAGGAACAACGTTTATTTAAAATGTGAAACAAAATTCGATTATTAATGACAATTAGTGGTCGAACCATTCCCCATTTAATGGAAACAATTAGAAGGGTCAATTATTTTTATTTAAATGCATGTGATATTATTCTGACATGTGGATCTCTGGATGATGGATTTCAAAAAGTAGAAACATAGTAATATAGTAAATTCTATCACGAAAGTAGACAAATTCCAAAACTTGTGAAAAGAATATTTTCAGTCTTCGTTTGTATACATAGTGGAAGACTTGAATTTTACTTAAAAAATCCTTAAAAAATCTCTTGTCCCATACCTAACCCAGACCTAACTATTCTACCTAGTAATTAATATGATGGATTAGGTTCAGGTTAGATTTTCTATTTCAATTTTTTTTATTAATATTATCCGATACTAGCTTGACACAGTATACATTATTTGTTGTAACCCAGACCTAACCCAGACCTAACTATTCTACCTAGTAATTTTAATATTATGGATTAGGTTCAGGTTAGATTTTCTATTTCAATTTTTTTTATTAATATTATCCGATATTAGTTTGACACACAGTATACATTATTTGTTGTAACCCAGACCTAACCCAGACCTAACTATTCTACCTAGTAATTAATATGATGTATTAGGTTCAGGTTAGATTTTCTATTTCAATTTTTTTTATTAATATTATCCGATATTAGCTTGATATAGTATACATTATTTGTTGTTGGTCGTCATGATTTTAATACAAGACTACCTGCATTTTTTTATGCAATGGGAGACCTAACCCAGACCTAACCCAGATCTAACCCAGACCTAGCCCAGACCTAACCTAGATCTAACCCAGATCTAACCCAGACCTAACCCAGACCTAACCCAGATTTAATCTAGATCTAATCCAGACCTAACCCAGACCTAACCCAGACCTAACCCAGATCTAACCCAGATCTAACCCAGACCTAACCTAGATCTAAGCCAGATCTAACCTAGACCTAACCCAGATCTAAACCAGATCTAACCCAGACCTAACCCAGACCTAACCCAGATCTAATCTAGATCTAATCCAGATCTAACCCAGACCTAACCCAGATCTAATCCAGATCTAACCCAGATCTAACCCAGATCTAACCCAGACCTAACCCATGCAGCCATTTTTTTCTCCATACCTGAGTGTAAGTATCGCTATCAGTGATCGAATGTGATCTCGATATCCTGGAGGAGCCTTCGTCGCTTCCCATTCCTGCTTCTTTCGCAGCAAGCTTGGCCATTTCTCTTTGTTCCCGTTCCCTTCTCTCATTCCTCTGAAAAGGTGCACTTTTTCAGTCAAAAATTGACAGAAAGTAACCTTCGTTCGAGCATCGTTTTATTATTGATTTCCTCATTCCAACAATTATAATAGCTACATCGTTAATAGAACTATTAATGGGTCATAGTAAACGGGAAAGCTATAATCGGATCAATATCAATTAATAGCACAAGGCTGCTAAAGCCTAGTACACACATACATTGTCCCAACGTACTGTGCTGAATACAAACTCCAAGCAGTGACCAAATAACCCAAAGAATCGCATATTTTTGATCAAAGAAATTAACAGGCAATTTTTGAAAGTCAACAAAGATTTTCATTAAACATACCCAGTGACTTAACGCTAGATTTAGTGTTAAATAATAATTAGGCGTACCTCCGAGGAGAATCCTTCGACAAGGATAGCAACCAGTAGATTGAAGAGGACATAATTTCCAAAGGTCATCAGCGCGACGAAGTAAAGGGCCGCCCAGTGGGAGGTTTTCTGCATCCCGTTGAAAAGCACAACGTTCCAGTCTTCCTGGGTCAAGATCTACGTGAAAAGGAAAAGGAGAAATCCCAAGCTGTACGTTACGTAAACTTCCTCTCGTTGCGATTCACGAGACGAACGATAGGCAGAGCTTCTAATTAACGATAAAACATTAAATAAGCAAACGTTATTCGCTACTGTTCTCAATCAATACTTTTACATTCGAAACTAGTTGCAGTCAACTAGCTCTATGAAATCGAAAGCTGTACAAAAACGTGACAAATAATACCGATCGGTATCGTCTCGTATTTTTTTTAATATTAGACATACTCGTACCAATTTCACCACGAATTTCTCTCTATGTTCAATGCACGATTAAAGTTAAAAGTGGTTGCTCGACCGTGGTCCTTTTTTCCCCATTGCAAGGATACCATTACGTAACAACAAATAACACCGTGATGCGATTAGTTATAAAAAAATAAAAAATGGCAAGATAACAATTCGAGCAATTAGCTACGTCGGTCTGCAACGAATTGGGTTAATCTCGCGACAAATGCATCGTTGACTCACACTTTATCACAAAATGACAGACATCGGTGTTAGAGGGACAAAGAAAAAGAGAGAAACTCGTCAGCACGTTGATAAATCTGTAACGACTCTCCATTACGCCATATATAGAGCGGAAGTAGACGGAAGTAGAGTATACGGAGGAAGCAGGGAAGAGAAACGTCTGTGTCTACGTGACATGTAATGTTAAGAAAAACGAGTGGAACGTGAAGTAGCGAAAGAGCGGTTAAACGACACACTACACTATGTAACACGGTTCGTGTACGTGATATACAAGGTGTTCTTAACATAAAGCTGAAATAATCAGTCTGATAAAAGTTCGAAAGCACGTTCTCGTTGAATTGATGATACGGAGACAATATGTACTGTCTGTACGCGAAACGAAGGCCAACGAATCATCCCCACTCTAGTTTATGTTCTACTAGCTCCTCCCCTAAGTTTGGTCCTCGTAAAAATACGCATAATGATGAGAAAAGAGCTAGTTAACTTGATTAGAATGGGGACAAATGATGGAGAGATTCTTTAAGATTCTTTTATTCGACGAGATAACACGCCTTAAAATTTTTATGAAACTTGTAATATAATTTGAAATGTTAGATAGCATAATAGGGAATGTATTTATCGAATAAATTAGAATAATATAATAATAATATATTAATCGACTTTTTTACCGACCAACGCTTACCGACCGATAGCGTATTAATCAACTTTTTTACCGACCAACGCTTACCGACCGATAATCAATCGCTACCGGTCGGTAAAGTGTTAATATTTTTATTTAGAGTATTTATATTATTATTGAATTAAAAAAAAATGTAAATAAAATTAGAGAAATTAACGACAGCGTAAAGTGTACAGAAATTTCAAGGCGTGAACATTGTACGTAAACATTGACTTTGAAAATCCGTAGTTAGGGTTGAACTTCTTATTTTAGGAACACCCTGTACTGTAGACGAGGAAATATGCATAATAATCTCCGAATAACTGATATTGTGCACTCGTAAATTTCGTAAGTTTTCGTTCCAAGAATCCACCATTTTATTTTCAGGTGAAATTTCAATAGAAAATACCGGAAGTAAATGATATAAAGTGAAAATGAATTTTCGTGGGATATTGTCGACGAATTAACGAGATTTTCACGATCTTGTTCGAATTAATTTTCAAGCGAGAACTTTTTCAGGATTCGTTTCACTTATAATTAAATATATCGATAATAATTTCACAAAGATACAACGAGAAATAAACAAATTTTCGGTGAATTGTTTGCACCAGAGAAACATAAACTGCGTAAGGGTAATTTCGGTTTCAATTGCCCGGGGAATAACCGTGTCAATTATGCGGAGATTATTGTACAGCGTGTATACAATTACCCTTTTGTAGGATAATATTGAACGAAATAGGCAATTGCCGCTGCAAAGTGCATTTCACAGAAACGTACATTTCGTAGTCAGAAGTACATTTGTACGCGTATGAATTCCTAGGGAAACGCTTGTTTATGATATTCAGTATTCCATTTACATTTGGTGACTGGTTGCACTTCTGCAAACCTCTTTAATTTTATTTTATAAAAATGTTGCTTCATCTTTTAACTGGCGGATCAACAAAATTCAAAAACAATAATTTTGTACACGTTAAACAAAGACTGTGCATACTAATACGTTCTGCCATTGTAAACAAAATTGTCTTCCAAGCCTAAGCTAGTTAATAGTCAAATTTCTAATATAGAATAATTTATTTGAAAGTAACTATTTATTTTAAACCCTGTTTGATATATTTTCTGGGCTACAATTTGATGCTTTTCGAGAAGAAACTTTGCATCTTTATAAATGAGTAAAGTAGTAAAAAATTAATAACAGTATTGTCACTCACAATGAAAATATAAATAGGTACATCGAGAGCTCTTCTGTGGCAAGTGTGAAAAGTGCCCACTACAGGGTAACCGATTTTAATCTCCAATTAATTAGCCAACAAAGTCACAAGTAATTGGCACAGTTCAACTAGTCTTTGTTCGTCGTTTAAAGAATTTAAGACACTTTAAAATGATAAGTTGCCCTGGAATATTAGTTTACTACTAAAAATGAGACACTCTGTTGCAACGACAATTTTCCTTTTTGTTCGGTATTAACCCAGACAAAGCGTACGATTCCCTGTTCTCTACATACACACGTGTAGACATGTACATATAAGTACAGATGAAGACATAAATGTACAGGTACAGATGTAGACAGAAATATAGATATGGATACAGATATATATATATAGAGGCTCATAGAGATATAGATATAGATATATATATAGATGCTGATAGAGATATAGATATAGATGCTGATAGAGATATAGATATAGATATATATATAGATGCTGATAGAGATATAGAAACTCATATAGCACAGAATAGATATGAACATAGACATAGGCATAGGCAAAAACATATACATAGACATAGACATAGACATAGATATAGATATAGACATAGATATAGATATAGACATAGACATAGATATAGACATAGAGACATAGACATAGATATAGACATAGAGACATAGACATAGATATAGACATAGAGACATAGTCATAGACATAGATATAGACATAGATATAGACATAGATATAGACATAGATATAGACATAGACATAGACAGAGACAGACATGTATAAACATACAGACGTAGACAGATGTGGACAGATATAGGCACAGATGAAAATATAGACACAGACATGGCCCATAGACATAGACATAGGCATAGCTATATATATATAGCCATTGATATAAATATAGATGTAGACATGGACGTAGATAAAAATACAGACGTAGACACGGATACAGACATAGATTATGGTTACTGGGTAGGGAAGAGGGGGTTGGTACCCGTGTGCTTAATAAATACTTGGTGCAATATACAGTGTTTTTTGGTGTAAGAGGGAGGAACAGTGGTACCTGAAAGACCGTGACAAGTGCCCAGACGATGTCGTTGAAATGTTTGCGATCACAGCGACACATTGGGTGCCGCGAGACCACCTCGGCACAGGTGCAGGGCCGACTCCGGTCCGCCCACATGCAAAACTTACCCCCGAACAGGTACATCCCTAGGATGCTGCAACCGAGACAATCCGCCGGCCTAAAGTATCACCGCGATTCAGATAGACGGTACAGGTAAGGGACTCGGGGGATATCAATACCACTCCTCGCGAAGCGTCTTCAGTCTTTTATCACTAACTTTTTCATCGTTCGAACTACCTCAGTCCAATTGTTACAGCTTGACCCACCCTCCAACCAGAATCCAAGCAGAATCGATTCGAATCTCAGAAATTTCGGGGTCTCCAATATTCTTAGCTATCTCTCCACGTCTCCACTTGAACTTTGCCCTGTTTGCTACTGAAGCTGAGGATTTTAGAACTTTTCTAACAATAATTTGAAATTATTTTCGAAGTTTAATCAGTTTCCTTCGATGAGGCGTCGAAAGTCACCTTTTGTGTACATAAAACTGTAATACAAATATTTCCAGAAAATGTGGGACACTCGTGTTGATGTCGAAAGCTAATAAGTGGTGGAACAAGGACATGGATTCTTGGAGACACTCGAATTTCTGCTCCTTCCATGAGAAGAATCGTCGTATTGACTTTCTTCCGATGCAATTTATCTGTCGATTTGAAAACGAAGCTATAAAATATCGTATTCGGGACGTGTAATCATTGAACCGGTGTTTTCGGGGTCGGTTCGAATACGGCGGTGAATATTTTAAGCGGCAATTCAGAGATGAAATTGTATTTCTGGCTGTCAGTTGCATCGTTATTCGTCCGACGAAAATTGCCAATGTTTGGCCGGCCGTGAAAAATCGTTAGCGTATTTAAAGGACGAATATAAATTTTTGTCGATAAACAACAATACGGGTCTTATTAATTTTCAATAAAGATTTTATATCTTGATGTAATTCTTTATTTATTGTTTTTATTATAATTTTATACTCAAGTATACCTCCTTTAGTGACTTTTATTATAAAATGAGTTTTAATTGAATATATAATATATAATTATATATTATATATATTATTTTTAATTATTTTAATTTTTGTAAGTATAAGAATAATTTGAAATTATATACATTTATTTAATAATATATTTTATTATCCTTTTAAATCTATAGCAATTTAAAATGAAACTGTAATTGTTTTCTATGCTTTTAAAAATTTAATACTGATAACAATTGGCTGGAAAATGTGTATCAGCTTTATTTCAACTGAAGACACTTCGCGGGGGGCAGTGATTAAGCAGACATGTCGGGTAGACAGCGAAAAACAACTGTCACTTGAAGCTTGTACAGTCACATTCTGCAAGATCGGCGTGTTCGTCCACTTATACAAATATATATATATATGTGTCTTGTATTCAGACAAGAAACAATTAGGCGAACGTGTATAAAATACTCGTATGTTGTTGTCAAGCAAATGTTACATAAGCTGTGTGTAACTGTAAGAAACGGTACGACGATGCTAAAATTTCAAAAGGATAGCTGCCCACCATGTTTGCTCTTTTTCAACGAATCTTATAACGTTATCGTAACCGATAACGTCACAAACGGTGGAATGTTTTTGCAATAAACTGTTACTCGTGTGACTGTATCCCTGGTGGATACATTCCGTGACGATTGGGGCAAGACATTTGAATGTTTTGGGCGTTTTTTAAAACGTACTTTGTTCATCTGACTAACTGTTGACAGCTTAGTATTTTAATTTTAGTTATTAATGTACTTTAGTCACTAGTAAAATAGGTTTTGTTAACACATTACCGACCGATAGCCTATTAATCGACTGTTTTACCGGCCAACACTTACCGACTGATAGCCTATTAATCAACTGTTTTATCGGTCGGCGTTTACCGACCGATAGCCGATTAATAAACCGCTACCGGTCGGTAAAGTGTTAATAAGTAACTGTAAAATAGAATGTTTAATGTATACACTTTGTAATTTCTATTAGACTTCTAATGCTAATGTTTTCACTAATTTTAAGAAACGTACAAAACTCACAAGTGTCTTCATTGTCACGGAGTACATGAAATTATATTTAAAAAGTACTATCCACAGTTATCTGAAATGTTTTCGTATTTACAGAGTGCGTCGCAAAATTGGGAATGATCTAGATCCTGTTTCATTGAAGATCGAACAGAACTTTCTGTGTAATAAATGGAAACTTTAACACTGCAAGAAATATTATAATATTCTACTTTATAGTTCGATTAATTATTTTAATTTTAAACAAATACAGGTTTGACGAGCTAAGAATTACAAATCCATTTTACTAAATCGATCGAACAGAACTTTCTGTGTAATAAATGGAAACTTTAACACTGCAAGAAATATTATAATATTCTACTTTATAGTTCAATTAATTATTTTAATTTTAAACAAATACAGGTTTGACGAGCTAAGAATTACAAATCCATGTTATTAAATCGATCGAACAAAGCTTTCTGTGTAATAAATGGAAACTTTAACACTGCAAGAAATATTATAATATTCTACTTTATAGTTCTAATTAACTATTTTAATTTTAAACAAATACAGGTTTGACGAGCTAAGAATTACAAATCCATGTTATTAAATCGATCGAACAGAACTTTCTGTGTAATAAATGGAAACTTTAACACTGCAAGAAATATTATAATATTCTATTTTATAGTTCTAATTAACTATCTTTTAATTTTAAACAAATACAGGTTTGACGAGCTAAGAATTACAAATCCATTTTACTAAATCGATCGAACAGAACTTTCTGTGTAATAAATGGAAACTTTAACACTGCAAGAAATATTATAATATTCTACTTTATAGTTCTAATTAACTATCTTTTAATTTTAAACAAATACAGGTTTGACGAGCTAAGAATTACAAATCCATGTTATTAAATCGATCGAACAGAACTTTCTGTGTAATAAATGGAAACTTTAACACTGCAAGAAATATTATAATATTCTACTTTATAGTTCAATTAATTATTTTAATTTTAAACAAATACAGGTTTGACGAGCTAAGAATTACAAATCCATGTTATTAAATCGATCGAACAAAGCTTTCTGTGTAATAAATGGAAACTTTAACACTGCAAGAAATATTATAATATTCTACTTTATAGTTCTAATTAACTATTTTAATTTTAAACAAATACAGGTTTGACGAGCTAAGAATTATAAATCCATGTTATTAAATCGAACGCAGCATAATAATAATTTATCTAGTTTCTTGGAGTTCTGTTCTTTGATTCAAATGAGGTTTATTTCGATAACATTTCGCCACCGAAATAATACTAACTGTTAGAAGTTTCGTTTGAGTTTAGAGCCACATTTTGCCCCGAAGAAGGTCTGATGAAACTGAGCTAAGAAGGATGTGCTCGAAAGTTTCCCCCCTCGCGATCATAAAGCAGATTTCGGTGGCAAGACGGTGCCATTGCAATTTGGTTAGCGCCGTTAGGCTCGAGTTTCGCCATTAGAGATGTGTCCATAAGCAATAATGTCGAATTTGGGGAGATGCTAATTGCGATAGTCGATCGATAGTCGAGCCACCCTTGCATCGCATCGAACGCAATGCTGGACGTTTAAATAATATTATTTCATATATAATATCGTCGAACGTATATAGAAATAAAACCAGATTATGTTCTGTAATTTTCATTTCGTTTCAAGTCGAAGTTTTATAGCTTTTATTGGAAAACTCGTTATTAATGCTTCGTCCGTCTTATACTGTTCCACGGTTCATATTGTTCCTCGTGTACTCTTTTCGAAATTTTGTTGTTTAAAGTCCATATTTAACAGATATTTATGGAATAAAAATATAAAAGCAGAATTAATATATTAAATTTTCTTCTATTTTATGTGATTATGCGATGGTCTTTTTATCTCCGACGAAAGAGGGGAGACGTTCGCCCCAATTTTGTGACCCACTCTGTAGAATAATGAGGGAGAAGCAGAAAGTCTACCAGAGAATCCGTGATTATCGAACTGTTTCGAACTGGGTAACAGTAATAAATGGTAAACGCAGCAAAGTGTACTTGCCTTTGCAGAATGTCACGGTGGACTTGTATGTATATTAATAAAGAAAAAGAAACGGCAAAGCGTAAATATAATGTCTAAATATAAGGTTAAAAATTTCGAACGAACTGTCAGCGATTGGTTGCACAAGTACTCACTAGCTGTCGGTTTTAGCAGTATCTGTAATATTGTTATTAACGAGTCTTATATGCCTCTAATAAATTGTCTACTCTAATCGAGTAGCTAAAGAGGTATCGGATGAACAAAGATGTCTATCTACAGCGGCTAACGCAATAGTTAATATTCAATAGCACGTAAATCGTACAATATTACGTGTGGTAGACGGTTGTTTCATTCAGCAAATAATATTTACTTCGGTTCGTCGGACACGCGACGGTTTCTTCAACGCGCGAATCGTTCCTAATACGCGACGACGATCCATCGATCTTTTTCGTCGAACGTCCGTATTGCGATCGGTACGGATAGGCGAGATTATAATGTAAGACAAACAGATGGAACAGAGATACGAAGTGAAACCGTAGAGTTAGAAGTAGGTAAATGAGACGTGTAGAAATTCTCACACAAATGCCACCGAATGTACTGAAAAAATGACACGGACATATCTAAGACATGTGCTACACTGTCAAAAATTCATGGCGTAGCCAACAAGCTTATCCGAATCTAGCATCGAATAAAGTCCCTTCATTCTTTATTCGTTCGCTCGAATAATCTCAACTTTATTCGTCGATTTCAATTTCGATATATTTAAAATAAAAATTCTCTTGATTTATATCATTTGTGATTGCAAATCCCATTTTCTCAATAAAAATACGTGAAAATGGTAGTTTCTTGTTCATTGAGCATTTCTCGAATTATGAGAGAAATATTACTTAAACATACAAGGCGTTACAATTTAATTTTTTGTTTAAAAAATAAGTCATATGAGATCGTGAGACAATTATCGAATAATTCACTATTTCGTAAGAAAGTGTGATCGTAGAATTAAGCAGCTTTTAGCTAATTTAAGATTAGGATATCTAATATTTACGTTGACTTTATTCGATTCTTTATT